TGTGGGTCAGAGAGGCAGAAGAAATGTCCCCCAAAACACAAGCCTAGTAAGAGGCGCAACAGGGATTTGAACTTGAGGAGTCTGACTGTGGAAGGGCCCAAGCTTCCACCCACCATTCTGCTGGCTCTGGGTCCGGCCGAGGACGGAGGTCCTCTGAGAATTGAGGGTGCCCTTCCTGCCTTTGCAGGAGATTTCTTGGCAGGCAGAGCCGCCCTCGTGCGCAGAGCGTGGGCGCCGGGAATAGCCAAGAGGCAGCAGCCAGACGAAGAGGACGCGCACTGTGAGTGCGTCGAGCACGGTGCCCAGGACCAGGGGCAGCTCACAGAAGTGCGCGAAGTCCAGGAAGTAGACAGGCAGGTAGAGAGAGGGCGACACGCGGTAGCCGCACTGCACCTGTACGCCGGCGGCATACACGGCATCGCGAGTGTCCACTGGAAGAGCCAGAGCACGCAGTAGGCGCGGGTGCCCAGCCACACCAACGCCGCCATGCGCTTGGCCCGCGCCACTGTGCACAGCGCCTGGGCGGGCAGCGGGTGGCAGATGGCGAGCCAGCGCTCCACCGTGAACGCCGTGGTGGAGCCCGCAGAGCGGTCGATGCCCATGTACTACTGCAAGTGGTGATGCCCAGGCAGCCTGCGTGACCAAAGACCCAAACTCGGGCGGACGCCGCCTCAGCCACAGTGGGTTCCCGGCTGCTAGGAGCACCAGCAGGTCCGCAGCGGCCAGGCTCACCAGGTAACAGTTGGTGGTTGTGACCACGTGGCGGACCCGGACCACCATCAGGACCACCATGGCGTTGCCCACCACGCCCACGGCGCACACGAGGGGCACCAGCGTCAGAGTCACCCCCTGCACAGCCCCGGAGGCTGAGGCACGGTGCCCAAGCCAGACGCGTTCGCGCGCTCAGGGGACCCGGTGAGGTTTTCCGTGCGTCCCTGCCAGCGCTGCACCTTCAGGCAGCGACGAGTTGGCGAATTGCTCTGGGCGGCAAATGTGTGCTCGGGGCCTGTGGGACGCTCTCCGTGCCTGGAGCTGGGGGGCCCGCACCTGTCTCGGGCTGAGCCGGTTTCTCCAGTCGGTGCAGGATCTTGCCCCCGCCCCGTGCGACTCTGGAGACTCAGAAGAACCAGGAGCTGGAGCAAATAGGCGCGTGCTGCTCAGCTTCCAAAACAGCTTTTAGCCGGAGCCGGCGCGATCGCTCCGGGTGGGTTTTACTGCAGGGGGTCCTTTGCACAGTCGGCTTGCGCTCTAGCAGGGAGCAGGGAGCCGGGCCCGCCCGCGGGTCTTACCTCCGCTCCGCACGTGCCCGGAGCTCCGAGGACTCCGGGACTGGGGTGGCGGGTAAAGAAAGCGGCTGCGTGGAGTCGGATCTCTGCCTCCCAGAGCCTTTCTCTTCGCTCCTCTTTCCGCTGCCACTTCTGGCTGCTCCTGTGCCGGAGTGAGCATGTTTTCTCCACTGATATCACTAACCCTGGTGGCCTCCGCCAGCACAGTTCTTCCCCACCAGCTCCTGGTTGCTCCACCAGCAACCGCATCTTGCGCACCTGGGGTGCGGTGAGGAGTGGCCACTGCTAAAGGGAGCAGTGGTACCTGGCGCCCAGCTCGCGCGCCTTTCTTTGCCCTGGGCTTTCCTCCCTCCCTTCTTTCTCTCTTCTACAGGGGACAGCTCCACTGGGCAAGGGGGAGGAGTCGGCGACCCGCTGGTTCCCCATCGAATCCTGAATTCTGGCGTGTTCTCTCTGGCAGAAACCTCAGCCCCGCCGTTGACAAATGAGAAACCCAGGTCCAGAGCTGCGGAAAAGGGATTTGCCCATCTGGACTTGGGTTGGTCCTGTCCCCTTGTCACCCTTGACTTTCTCCTGCTTACGTTTCCCAGTTTTGTTTTCTTTCTCCTGAAGAGGATTTGTAAACTCTTGCTTGAAGCTGTGTCCTACATCCCCACAGGGATCTCCTCCCGTCTCTAAGCCGGTGCCACTCACACGAACCAGCTAGGAATCTTTAATTCCGTGATAGCACACACAAAAAGTGCTTACTGGCAGTTGGATGAATGAATGGATGAACGTGTTTCTTCGCTCCAGGAAGCTTCCTGAAGGTGGGACCACGCTAAGCCTCACAAAGGCATAGAGGGTGGTTTCCACAGAGCCTAGCTCCCCATTGCACATCGCAGACGCTGCTGACCATCCATCAATGATTTCTTTGTCTTCGAAATGCGAATTATGATAATAGCACTCACCCCAGAGTGTCCTTGGGGAGCTTACATGAGTGATGTGGTTAATAGAATCCATGTAAAATGCTTAGCCCTGTGCTTGCCTGTGGCATGTTAGTGCTTACAGTTATTGTGATATACATTCCTTTCTCCCCACTCCTTAATGTGTGAGCACGGTCTGAACCCCAAACTCTTGGCCTACACATCTTGTAAATGGACAGGAAATGAATGAGAGGGACTTAGCAAGGGAATATTAGAGGGGCACCAACGGGGATCTGGGATACCCTCCAATGTCATAGCAAATGACAGCTACCGTGTATGAAGAATGTTTTATTACCTGGTGATGGTCTATGTGCTTTACATGAGTTAATTCATTTTATGAATTCCCCAACACTCTATGGGGAAGGTATTATCAGTATCTTCATTTTACAGACAAGGAAACTGAGGCCCAGAGCGGTTAAGGAACTTGCTTAAGGACACATAGGTTAGGAAGTTGGGGGGGGAGTGTGCTAGGATTTGAACCCAGTAGCCTGGCTGTGGAGTCCGTGGTCTTGCCCACCACACTGTACTGCCTCCCTGCACTAGATGTTCTCTGGGATCTTTAGCAATAACAACAGCAAAGCACCCTCCCCTGGCCCAGACACCATGCTAAGTGCTTTACATTTGTCATCTTCATTTCCTACAGTGCTAGCTAAGCACTTACTATTATTCCCATTTTATAGATAAGAGTATATCTTTTTTATTTTTTTGTAGAGCCTCCCTATATTGTCCAGGATGGTCTTGAACTCATCGGCTTCAGGGGATTCTCTCCCCATCTGGGCCTCCCAAAGTTGGGATTACAGGTGTGAGCCACCACGCTAGCCTCTGGATGAGGATCCTGAGGTCCCTAGAGGAGTGATTCCAATGACACAGAGTCAAGGTCCAAGCAGGAAGCAGAACCCCAAACTCCCAACTGTATGCTCCCTGTCCCCACCCCTTACTCAGCTCTTTCCCAGGTGGCAGATGCCAGTGATACCCAGAATGGCCCCTCCCCACTCCAGGGTGTGGCAGTCCTCCCTGAGTGTGGTCCAGAACAATCCTTTTACCCATATTAATTGCAATTGGCTCCTCAGGTTTCTCTCACTCTAAGCCTGCCAGCTCTTTCTCCCACTAATTAAGCTGTTTGGTTGCCAGAAGCAAAGGGCAGTATTTGGCCTTGAACTATGTACGTCTAAAGTGGAGCTGTTTATTTTCTCATACCTTACCTCGTTCATCTCTAGTCTTCCCCCGTCTTAGTAAAGGCAGCACTGCCCACTCAGAAATTATTTCTCTCTTTCTCCACTGAAATCCAGTACTTAAGAATTTCTGCAATTCTACATCCAAAACACACCTCAAATTAATCCATTTTAACCACCACATTCTCTACCAACACTTTAGTCCATCTGTAACCTCTTCTTCGGATAACCGAAATTCCTTCCCAGTGGGTCTCTTTGATGCATTCTTGTTCCTCACTCTAGGTTCATTCTCCATGCAATACCAAGTGATCTCTTAAAAACATAAGCCTCTCCCTGCTTAAACCCTTCGATGGCATCCTGCTGTACTTGAACCCAAATGCTTTCCACAAGTCCCACCGTGCCCTGCAAGATGACTTCTCCCTGACTCTCCCTCTTGTGCATGATGCTTCAAATGCAGCCTCCATATGTCTAGTCTCCTTATATGGTATACTGGGTTACTAGGGCCCCCCCAACCTCCATGTCCATGCAGAACCTCAGAATGTGACCTTCTTTGGAAATAGGACCTTTGCAAATATAATTAGTTAAGATGAGGCCATATTGGATTAGAGTGTGCCTAAATCCAATGACTGGTGTCTTTATACAAGGAAGGAGAGAGAGTCAGACACAGAGACACAGAGCAGACGTTCACAGGGAAGATGACCATGTAAAAACAGATGCAGAGATTGGAGCGATACAGCTGCAAGCCAAGGAACACCAAGGATTTCCAGCAACCACCAGAAATTAGGAAAAGGCAAGGAAGGATTCTGCCCTAGAACCTTCAGAGGCAACATGGCTCTGCCGACAGCTTGATTTAGGACTTCTAGCCTCCACAACAGTAAGAGAATAAAGTGTCATTGTTAGTCAAATACTAAACAAGTATTTGTTGTTTACGTGAAATTCAAATTGAACGAGGTGTCCAGCCTTTTCGTTGCTAAGCCTGGCAATCCTAAGAGGCAAGCCCCTCAAGGAATTTGAAGCACAGGAGTAACATGATCTAAGATTTAATAAGTACATTTATTTACAAAATCAAAATTTTAGATTACTATAAATAGGTTCAGAGGATTCAGAGGCACATAAATAAGTCCAGGAGCATTTAGATATACTCATGGTGCAAAGTCCCCATCTAATGGGTAAAGCAGTCCATGCAGATGATAACCTTGACCGACCTCCACCTGGCCTGGGGGAACCCGGGCTGCCTCTGCGTTTCCTGGGTCCACCTTTGCATAGACCTTTACTGCTCCCCCGGCCCTATCGTGCCCAATAACTCATTCCATCCTTACCACATCCCCATGTGGAAATTAGGTCACATCAATTGTAATTAGTCATTAAGCAGATGTAGAAACAGGCTCAGAGAGGTGAAGTGACCTACCCAAGGTCACACAGGGAGGCAGCAAAAGGGCCAAGGTTACAACTCGGGTCTGTGCAACTCCAAAGCTCTTTCCCCTCCTCCCCGCTGCTCCGGGTCCTGCCAGGCGTCCAGCGTGCAGTTGGCCTGTCTACCCCTCCCGGGCCCGGGGCAGTGGCGGGGGCCTGGGGCCGACGCGGGTCGCGGGTGTAAGGAGCGGGAAGGAGCCCCCAGCGGCAGCTGCTGGCCTCAGTGCCTGTCGTAGCTTCTCTGGAGCCGGGCGTGCAGGTGGCGGACCCTCCTTGCCTCCTGGGCGGCGAAGAAGGAGGCGGCGATGGCGTGTCGCAGGCGGCGGGCGTAGGTGTCCAGTAGCACCGTGGCGCACGCCAGGAGCTGCAGGGCCCCGGCGGTCAGGGGCGCGGCGGCGCCGGGGCGCCGGGCGGGCAGCAGCCGGCAGCCGGCCGCGGTGAGCCGCAGCTCCCACTGGAAGGAGCGCTGGGCGGACAGGAAGGGGCTCTGCGGGGGCGGCTGGTTGAAGAGGAAGGGGATGAAGCCCAGGACGGTGTATGCAGCCTTCAAAAAGGAGAAAAAGGCTGGGTCAACAGACGGCCGCCCGGGGCCACTGCCACTCGCAAAGGCTCGCCCAACTTTCCCTGCTTTCATGTGCAAAATGGGCACAGAAATAACCTTGCTTCCAGGGTTTGAGGAGGACTGAATGAGGCAGGGAGTCTGCAACGGGCTCTTTGGGCAAATAAAAAGCACCATGCAAATGTTATTTTCGTTATCATTGTCTCTGAGCAGAATATTCTGGAGAAAATGAATGATTGTGAGCATTTACTCCTTGCTGAGCTCTTAGTGAATACTTAAGATGTGCTATCAACTATTCCATCAAATATGCACAATTCTTTGAGATCGAGGCCAGCAGGAGCCTCATTTAAAAGATGGGGCCAGGATCCAGCCACTGCCACACTCCAGCCTGGGCGACAGAGACCCTCTCTCTAAATAAATAAGACAAGATAAAAAAAAATAAGAAAATAAAATACCCAAAGCCACACAATAGATTACATGTGACCAACCCCAAGGATTGGTCCCAGGCAAGGTGGGTCCCAGTACCCTGCTGGTGAGCATTAGGGCACTCTACTTCCCCTGATCTGTCATAGCCAGGAAGAATGTTGTCTAGAGGGCAGGGAAGTGAGAGGTTAACCATCTGAGCTTTGGGTCAGACTGCTTGGGTTGGATCCTGGTTCTGCCAACACCAACCTCTCCATGTGGCACAGTGGGCACGAGCTGGGGGTCCATAGTATTCTTAGAGGCCCATGAAAATGTTTTAATTTTGTTTACAATCAGAAGAACAAAATGAACTTTTAAGTGGAAGAATGTGTCTCACTATATAATAATATTAATCTGTTTGTTTTTATACCAATGCAGTCATTGATATTTATTATGGAAGAAGGAGCCCATGAAGGTAAATGCCAAGGGCCCACAAAAAGTCACAGTGCAGCCCTGGTTCTGCCACTTATAGGTTAGATGAATTTGGACAAGTTCCCCAACTTCTCTAAGCCTTAATATCTTCATCTGTAAAATGGGGATGATAATAATTCCTATCTCATAGGATCATGGTGGTGATTAAATGAGCTACCCTAGCTCATCAGTTCTGAGATGCATACTTTTTCACATTTTAACACCTTTGAAATCGGGATGTGACTTAAAATCAATATGACTTGTAACCACTTTCAGCAGCCCAGGCAGGTGGGCTGTGTTTGCAGGCATCAACTTGGTCTGATGTCTCCTATGGTCACTTCAATTAGGTGCATTGTTGGCATGTATTTGAAGTTTGATTGCCATTTCAAAATCTCCTCAAAAAAAAAAAAATCCTGCTTTGATTTAGCTTAGCAGTGAATGGTTACTGTGTCCAGGACAGAGTAGCAGGGCATGAATGTGGTATTAGTGAAGCAAGTATTCACTTTGGACAGATGACTCTTGTCCCATAGTTTTTGGCCAAGCAGCAACCTGTGAAAGAAGGTTCATGCAAATAGATAGAGCTGAGTTACGTTCAGTCACTAACCCACGTGTGAAAGAATAGCCTGTCACACTCCAAATGGTTCAACTGAAAGTAGGGGAAACTTCCAAAGCCCTTGGAAAAGATGAAAGAATTTCAAAGCAATGAGGACAAGGCGTAGCCAATTCCTGCTTTCCCAGAGGACCAGAGAGTGCCAGCATCAAAACTTGCAGAGTGGGTGTCTGTAGCTTGCAAGAAAATGCTGGCAACAACAAGTGAGGTATCACCAGCCCTCTTGACGGCACAGAGAACCATACTGGGTGGAAAATCTCAGACACTGACTCCCAGGATGGGGTCATTGAGAAGAACTGGGCTCTAATGGGAGCATGTTTTAGGAAAACCACCAAACTATTTCTCTGTCTTTCTTTTTATGTCTACAGGAGAGAGAGATGATAAAATAAATCTGTGTTAAATTGTAAGTGAACCACCTTATACACATACAATTAAAATTTCCAGTGATAAGAAATCATTGTGTCAAAGTTTAATAGGCAGTATTTTCTGTCCTAATGATACATAAAATAGTGGAGTGACTTATAATTGATGGCATGTTAGATTGCATGAAATACAGTAAATCAAGGAACTCAACACATTGCTTTCCTGTGACCTACAGTTAAGAAATGCATTTTATAGCACCTTCTAAGCACAGATTGTACGGTAATCGAAGAAAAATTTCACAAAACAATACATACCCTTATCACCTACAATATACTCTAATAATTTTCTAGTCTATTCTATTTCATTTTAAAAAAAAGCTGGCCCCTCTTAAATTGATTAGATTGATTTCATGCAGTTTGTAAAACACCTTTCTTCAGGGGGCGATGGGTAAAAACCTACCTATCAGGTACAATGAACGCTATTTGGGTGATGGGCACGCTATTAGCCCCGACTTAAGCATTATAAAAGGTATCCATGTAACAAAAACATTTGTGCCCCCTTAATATTTTGAAATTAAAAAAAACACTTTTTAAACAAAATTTATTTTTATTTTTCTTTTTTTCAGATAGCCATGTCACCCTGTCTCCCAGGCTGGAGCAGTGGAGCAATTGTAGCTTACTGCAGCCTCGAACTTCTGGCCTTAAACAATCCTCCCACTTCAGCCTCCAGAGTACGTAGGACTGCAGGCATGCGCCACCATGCCCGCTTGAAAAACACTTTTCTAGTATATACGTACTTGATAAAAATAAGCTATTAATATCATTAGCTCAGGATCTGACACTTTGGTATATTTTACACAATGAAGTTTTGTATGAGATCTCACCATTAAAAATAAAAAATAAAAAGATTTTGGCAAAAGACAAGATTAAAAAACACAAATCTTGACCCTATAGTAAATATACCCAATAGTAAGTCGATAGTAAACATTTTATATATTTCTATTAAAAAGGTAAATATGTCAGGCTTTGCGGGCCATACGGTCCCCTATCACACTGCTCAACTTTGCCTTTTAGAACAGCCACGGATAATACACAAGCAAGTGGCATGGCTATGTTCCAATAAAACTTTATTTACAAAACTGGGAAGCTGCCTGATTTGCCCTGAGGGCCATAGTTGGCTGACTCCAAATCTAGATCATTCCAAAGACCTCCTCTAGTCTGATAGATACGAATGTGAGTTACGGAGAACAGCCACTGTTTATTAAATGTCTCCTATGTGCATGGAGCTTACCAGGTACTTTTAGAGACATCACCACACTGTAAGACTCACAATAGCCTCGTAGTGTGGGGAGGATCGATCCAATTTGTACAAATAAGGAAAATGAGGCTAGGACTTGCTGCTGCTTATGAAAGGAGTGACTTGAGGGCAAGTTATTCTAAGGTCCCTGAGTACCGGCATCCTCACCTGCAATAGGGGTGAAAATATTATAGAACCCACTTCATTGCTCCCACTGTTGCGGGAATCAAAAGACTTCATCTACCCACAGCCCAGGACCCCACGGCTTGTTCAAGGGCTACGACTTGGAGGCAAGTGAAATTTAATTGCAAGTCAAGGAGTTAACAATCCCCCACATTCCCTCAAGGAAATGACCCTGTGCTCATCGTCCCAGCCTTGCACTTACATCATACTTGACCGTGAGCGTGATGGGCACAGTGGGCAACTTCTGAGCCCAGTCGACAGCCGCCTGTGCCAGGAGGAAGGCCACGTGGTCTGTGGCCACCGTCACAGCCATTGCTACCAGGAGCAGGGTGAGCAGCCCCAGCCTTAGGAGACAGCTCAGCAGCTCCTCCTGTGACAGCCTCAACCGGGCCGCCTGGAGCAGCCACGCAGGCGGACAAGCCACCAGGTGTGTGGCCTGGGCCTGTGCCAGCCGCTGTGCCAGCTGCTGTGTAGCGTAGATGTTGTCAAACCCCAGGTCAGTCAGGTAGCGATGGAGGTACCAGGCCGACTCCGCCAGGAGGCCCAGCATAAAGAGCCCTGTGACCACCCGCTGCATCCCCAGTGCTGCTGCCCGGGCCAGAGACTCCAGGCCAGAGAAATCCTCCAGGATCTGCTGAGTGACCCCAAGCATGTGCAGCCGGAAGGCAGAGCCATTGCCCAGGGTCTCGAAGGTCAGGCGCCGGCTGCCCGCTTGGCCTGTGGGGCCCAGAGCCTCGGACGCCGCATGCAGTTGGTGAGTGGTATTGAGCAGACTCTCCAGGGATCCCTCTGTGACGCACCTCAGCACCTGCCCAGCTGCACCCACGTTGGCCAGGATGTTTGGCACCACAGCAATGGCCAGGGTGGCAGCACTATAGGACAGGAGCAGCCGGCGGCCCTGCTCTGTGCCCAGGGTGGGCACGCTGAGCACAAACAGGCAGCGGACTGGGGGCACCAGGCCCAGGCCCAGGAAGACCAGGAGGCCACAGACAGTGGCCACCATGGCTGAAGGTCCCGGAGGAAAAAGCAGCGAGGACATCAGCCAGTGATGGGTCAGACCCGTGGCAGCAGCAGCCAGAGAAGCACACAGGAGGAGCTGGGTCAGCAGCTGGCCACAGCTGGCGGGGACAGGCTGGGAGAAGTCATCCCAGGCAGCTTGCAGTGGGGCAAGGGCCCTGCAGAGCCCCAAGTGCCAGAACCTCCACCTGCACACAAGGAAATTGGGGGGCCCTCTATCAGGAGGGTGGGGGCAGGTGGGTGTCTGCCCACTGCCCCTGCCCCACAAACCCATCGCCCTGCCTGCTAACAGACTCCACACTGTTAGCCACAGGAGCAGGCACACTTCCCAGGTGGACCAATCAGTTACCCACCCCATAGTCACACGATAGGCTGAACCAATCAGAGCCTTCCCCAGAATTATTCTCACTGGAGCTGTCAAGGAGGAGCCCAGTTTCCATGCGGTTCCTGAGGATGTGAGGGTGGATGTGAGTCTGAGCTGCTAGAATTCAAAATTACAGTCTTGTGAGGGCAACTGGTCCAAGAGGATGAAAGAATCATGGAGCAAGAAGCACAGATGAGAGAGAGAGAGAATGAGGGAGAGGGGAAGGGGGAGGAAGAGGAAATGGCAGGAGGGAGAGGGAGAAACGATGGGGGAGGGGAGGGAGACTATTTCACTTGAATTCACAATCTTGGTGGCTCACCATATGCTCCTGGACATTGCCTTCTTTATTGACTTTGGGGTCTCCTCTATAATCTAGGGGTGAGGAGGGTGGACCAGCTGGCCTCTGAGGAAATTTTCTATGCTATTGTCCTTATATTTATTCATTCGACAAATATTTATTAAGCAACTACTATGTGTTAGCCACTGGAGAAACAGGAATAAATAACACAGACAAACTCCCTGCCTTCATAGGGCTTACACTAAAGAATGACAGCGGAGGAACAGTAAGAAGAGGTTGGATTCTGGATGCATTTTATTGGCGGAGTCCACAAGATTTGCAGACCAATTGGCTGTGGGCTGTGAGAGAGAGAGGGGAGTCAAGAATGATGGCAATGAGCTTTCGTGCCTGAGCGACTGGAAGCACCCAGGTGTTGCTTCCTGGGATGGGAACTCTGGGGTCAAATCAGGTTGGAGTGGAGGGGAGAGGAGGAATTCAGGTTAGAACTCTTAAGTTTGAGATCCGATTTAGTCAATCAGTGAAGCTTGTGAGAATGTGGTTGGAAAGATAAGTCTGGAATTCAGAGAGATCAGGCTGGAGATAGAAAGTTGGGAGTCACTGGTTTATAGACAGTATTTAAAGCCATGGAGCAGGATGAGATTCCCCAGGAGAGAGTGTTGCTGGGGAGGAGAGAGATCCGAGGACTGAGCCCCAGGCCATTCCAGGGTTAGGGGTTTTTTGATGAAGAGGAGCCAGCAAAGGACACTGAGAAACCAATATGGTGCTTGGGAAACCAAGTAAACAAGATGTTTCGAGAAGAAGGGAGTGATTGCATATGTCAAATGCTGTTGAAGGGTCAGGAAAGATGGGGAGTGAGAAATGCCTATTGGATTTAGCCACTTGGAGGTCACTTGGAATGGGCAGCTTGGTGGCTTGTTTTGGGCCAAAACCTTAACTAGGTAGGGTCCAGGAGAGACTGGAAGGAAAAGAATGAGAGATACAAATACAGACAACTCCTCAGAGTAATTCCCACAGTAAAGGAGCAGAAATATGGAGCAGTAGCTGGTAGGGAAAAATGGGACCAAGAGAGTTCACTTAAGGTGCAATATGTAGCACGTTTGCAGTTGGGAGCACATATCGCAATGGGAGACATTGACGAAGGGGAGATTTATTGGAGGGACTACATTTTACCTGGGTGAGTCAGGAGAGTTTCCTGGAAGAGGTGACATTCTAGCTGGGGGTGGAAGGACAAGTATCCATTCTTAGGTGGAGAAGAGGGCTTGGGCGTCCCTGACAGAAGGAACAGCGTGTGCAAAGGTCCTGTGCTCTGTCAGGAGATGGGGAGCTGGGAGGGTGAGGACACAGTGGGAAGCTGGGATGCAGCGAGGCCTCTGGGGCCGGGGTGGAGGTTGCAATCCTGTGGCCCCAGGGGCTGGATCCAGTGTGCAGCGTGCAAGTGTGCTTTATCTTGGCCCACAGCGTGTGTGTGCGTGTGTGTGTGTGTGTGTGTGCGTGTGTGTGTGTGTGTGTGTGTGTGTGTGTGTGTGTGTTAGCTGCCCCCATTTGGAAACAAGAAAGTTTCATGCTGAAATCCAGATTTCCAGCTTTTCTTGAGAAATGAGAGGATCTGGGTTAGTGGTCCTGCCTTTGCAGTAGGCGGCTGGAGCTGAGTGTCCACTGCCCTCTTTGACAAGGGGGCACCCCCTGCACTGTGCCCCCCACTTATTGACATATGGGGGTGCATGTGCACCTGAGGCCTCACACAGGTGCATTTGAATCTGAGTCTAAACACCCCCTCCTACTCTATAATTAGCATGTGGAACACAGTGGCTTTTGGAGTAATAACTAATAATAAAAATGATTTTAAGAATTGAAAGCCAAGTACTAAATCATATTGGGTGACAAGTCCTGTGCTGGGTTTTGTAAATGACAACGAAACCAGTGGCCGTTTACAGAGGGCTTATTCCGAGCCGAGCATATGCCAAGTCCTAAGCATTTTCTCCTTCAATTCTGGCAATAGCCTGGTCGTTATGATATAGTAACAGACATTATTATTACTCCCATTTCACAGATGAGGAAACTGAGACTCAGAGAGGTGAGGATTTCCCCAAGGTCACACAGCCAGGGAATGGCAGAGCTTGAGACATGCACCGTACCAATCACACCTGACTGCTGACTGTTTTCCTGCCTGTGGCCTCAGTCACCTAAATCCCCAGACTTACCAGGTCCTGAAGAGGGGCTCAGCTGCTCCGTGGAGGCCCTGCATGCTCCCAGAACAGCAGCGGTGTCGGGCGGGCAGTCTGGCTGCTGTGGCAGGTGGAGAGGAAGTAGGGGAATCGCTGGGCCTTGGGAAACCCTGTGGCTTCTGCTTTCCCCTGCTTTTATCCAGCCCTCCTGGCTGCCTTGTCCCGCCCTGCTGGTGACCCACCTCCCAGAGGGCTGGGCGACCTGCCTTATTCTCTCCCGCAGGGAGGAGTGTGTGGCAAGTGTGCGAGGAGAGAAAGAAAGCCTTTCCCAAACACCTCTAATTCTGATAGCAAGAAGGTAGAATCGGTTCCATTTTACAGAGGAGGAAACTGAGGTTCAGCAAAACCATACAGTTTCTACTTATTAGCAGTAGTGACGGACAACCACTCCCCTCTGCTCCCTCTTCCCCTCCCCCTGCATAGTTTTCTGCCTCAAAGGGAGCCTGACCCCTGACTCTTAGGGGAGCGGGAACCCAGAGGTGATGATCAGACCTGTGGCTAAGACAGGGAGCGGTGGCTCTGGGTCTCCTGCTCCAGCTCCCTTCCTGCCTCTACCCTGCCTTGAACCTGGCTTCACATCACAGCTCTGCCCCTCCCTAGCTGTGTGACCTCAGGCAGGGGACCTCTTCTCTGTGGCAGTTTCCTCCTTTTTAAAAAAAATGATTGATGATAACAGTTAACATGTATCGAGCACTTACTATGCATCGGGAGCTCTTCTAAACGATTTCTGCCAAATTCACCGAATCACTACTTTCAATGTCCCTTTGCAGTGGGGATGTTATTTGCATTCTTCATCTCAGAAAACTGAGACCCAGGGAACTAAGTCACCAACCACGCCACTCCGCTGTGACTGGCACAGCCATGATTTCTGTCCAGCAAGCCGGCTCCAGAGTTCACCAGTTGACCACCAGGCTCTCCTCCTGCGGAGGGGGTAGTTCACAGACTTCGTAATTACCTCGTAGTGCATCTACAAACAGTAGGCACTCAATAAATGTAAATTCCCTGGAGGCACCCTCTGTAGTCATCACCCTGCAGGTCTGCTTCTAGGCTGTTCTGAAAGCCAGTTCCTACCTAGAACATTTCTCCCCTGCATCTCTGTGCCCCAACGGGTTGCTAGCAGGACTTCCTGCCCCAGGAGGCCTCTCCTGAAGCCCCCAGCCTCCCACCTTGTGGGACGGACCAGTAGGGGACACAGCTAGGTGGTATTCGGGACCGCCTGTCATTTTCCCTTATAAGGACATGTTGCCTGGGCCACTTGCTCAGGCCTGGATAAGGGAAGTGACATTCTCTCTCATAGTCACAACGATTGAATGAGACACCTGTGGCCAGAACCCTCAGAGCACCTAATACCCTTCCCAGAACCTGAGCCCCTCCAGGAAGCCGGGCCGGCAACCAGGTCTGCAAGAACTAAGCCCGCACAGTAGATTGGGGCAGCAAGCTCACGTGCCCACAGGGGCTGGCCAGCTAAGGTGACCGACAAAGCAGGTCTGTGCACACAGAGAGGATTGCAAAGTGCAGACCCCTTCGAAACGGGCAGCTGCCGTTGACGGTCCAAGACCCTGGAATGAGGTCCAACATTATCAGATTTTCTAATTTTTCCACAGATGTCAGTCATTCCCCTTTTTATGTAAATATCCGGCATTAAAAAAAAAATGAAGACTACTGTGCAGACCAATCTTGACAGGTCTTGGGCCGCAAATCTGTAACTTCTACAGGAGGGCTCGGCCAGGCCAGCTGTCTAGCTGTTCTGCTGAAAACTGCAGGGGCCCTGGGCTGAAGGCAGCGACCTGAACTCAAGTGCCAGCTTTGTCACTTACTGTGCTGTGTGTCCTTGGGCACGACGCTGTTCCTCTCTTAAGCTGTGCATCCTTTGCTATAAAGAGGGGAATGCAGTGTCTGCTTCTTAAGGTTGTCTGAGGGTTGAACGAGACCAGGCATGTGGAGTGTTCCGGAAGCAGTAGACAAACGCCCTGCTCCCTCCTGCCTGAGCTGAGTGGCAGCTCTGCCTGCGTGAGCCCCCGCCTGCTCAGACTTGGCTGTTCAGGCCTCTGTGATGCCCACCGAGCCACGCCGGCCTGGGTCCCATCACATGGAAACCTTCAGGGCATTGAGCAGATCAGAAGGGAAAGATGGAAGACAACCACCAGCATTTGCCCAGTTTCTGCATGGGCACCAGGGAGCTGATTGGGAAAGGACCCTGTAGGTCGTTTCCAGAAGTTCCTCTGGTGGATACGCAAGACTTGGGAGCCTGGGGGAATGGGGGGAAAAGGTGAAAGATATTTTTGGCTTTCCTGGGTACACGTAGGCAGCCACCTCTGTCTATATAAGGCTGGCCTGACCTCAAAGCCCACAACATCCGGAGGGGGCTTCTGAATCATCAAAAATAGAACCACTGTGTTGAGGGGAATTTGTGGGCGGAGGACTCAGAGCCATAAGACAGAAGAGGAAGAGGAAGCGGGGAGCCTCCAGATCCGCCCGGGGAGCTCGGTCTGGGAACAGAATCAGAGGTCCATAGGGTGTTAACAGTCATCGAATTCTTCAGCCTGCGGGGATAGGATGTTGCCACCGTCCAGATGGTTTGAGGGTGCAAAGAGGTAGCTGAAATCTTAGCATATGGCCGGCGCTACCCAACAGAAACAATACGAGCCACCAATAGGAGCCGTACGTGTAATTTAAACCTTTCTAGCAGCCACATAAAAAACGGAAATTAACTGTAAGAAAACATTTCATTCAACGTAATATATCCAAGATATCCTTTCAACATGTAAACAATATAATAAATTATTAATGGGATAGTTTACATTCACTTTCTTATACTATGCTTTTAAAATCTGGTGTGATAATAGATCACTTCCATCATTACAAAAAGTTCTGTTGAGCAGTGCTGCTCTAGGCCATTGGAACCAGTGACCACCAACGCTGGAATAGACCTTCCGGATCACGTGGTGCAGGAGTCATACATCCAAACGCCTTCACAGGCCGGGAAGGTGAGAGCGGAAAGAAGAGAGCCAGCGTGAGACACTAAGGAGTGGTGGGGACTGAGGCCAGTGAAAGCGTTCACACTCCCACTTAAGCTTCCCTCACAAACTACGCTGCTCCAAACAACCGTCGTCTGGTGGCGATGAGGGTCTCATATTGCTAGATCTTCCGGTCTTTTCCAAGAGGAGCAGAAATTCAGATTTTTATGTGAAGTTTCCTGAATTTTAAAGATTAGCAACCAATGAATAATTTAAAACTCACTGGGGAGAGGGCAAACAAAAACCTGACTGAAGGCCAGCGGCGGAGCTGGGGACCACCGGATCGCAAGCTCTGTTTTGGTGTAAACTCTGTGTGTCACGTTCCTGTGGCTTCGCTTCTCCAGACCCCTCCCCACTCTCCTGCACCGGGCAGGGGGACCCCCATGGGCTGTGTCAAAGATTCCCTTGTATTCTGGCTTCTGTTGGTGCAACACGTGACATTTTGTGTGTCAACTTGGCTGGGCCATAGTGCCCAGATAGTTAGTCAAACATTATTCCGGATGTTTCTGTGAAGGTGTTTTTGGGTGAGATGAACCTTTACATCAGTGGCCTTAGAGTAGAGCAGATTGCCCTGCAGAATGTGGGTGGGGTGGGTCGCATCCACCCGTGGAAGGGCTGAAGAGAACGAAAGACTGACCTTCCCCGGGTAAGGGGGCATCTCGCACAGGCAACCTGCAGATTCCAACTGCGACTCTGTCTCCAGCCTGCCACCCTCCCCTCAGATCCTGGACTCTCCAAGCCTCCACGACTGCGCGAGCCATTTCCTAAAATGAGCCTCTCTCTGGCTCTGTCTCTCTCAATGCGACGCACACACACCCTGTTGGGCTGTTCTCTGGGAACCCTGAGCCAGGGAGGGAGGGAGGGAAGGCGATCCCAGGCAGCTCACTCCCTGCAGTTCCCTGGACCCAGCTCTTGCCAGGGGCTCACTCCCTGGAGGCCTGGCAGGCGGTGGGGATTCTCCTCCAGTCCTCGCTCCCTCTCCCGGGGCCGGGTCCTGCCCTTTGCCTGTGACCCGCTACTCTCCACTCACCTTGTACCTAGACCCTTGACTAAGCTCTCCTCACATGAGCTAGTCTGTGAGCTTTCTGCCTCCTGCTGAGACGCCACCCGTGTGGGCTCGTTTCGGAACCCAAAGTCCCACAGAGTAAAGAGACCTGCCCCAGGTCACACCAAGTGTTACGGGTGGAGCCAGGAGTCCGGCGTGGCTTTCTGAACTCATTTAGTGACTTTTATTTCCTCTCTTTTTTTTGCACCTACCATCACCGCTTCATTCATCTGCCCACTCCGCTGTGTCTGTCAGTTTGACACATCTACTAGGACATGTCTGCTGGGACCTGCGGCCTCAAGGCCACACGTGGTCCCCCAGATCCCTGAGTGTGGCCCCTAGACCGAATCCAAACTTCACAGAACAAATCCCTTTATTAAAACGCCACACTCAAGGATCCAGAGGCCACATGTGGCCCCAGGCGGCAGGGTCCCACGCCTGGAGCCCGTCACGCCGTGCACCGGTGGTTCCTCATGTCTGCGTGTCATTGTGTTTTCCTTAGTGTGCTCCCCTGTGTTTTATTTAAACGCTGCCCCAACGATGGCCACCAGGGGCCTCAAACAATATCCTCCTGCACTGTCTCCCTGGGGACCCGTGGGGTAGTCCACTGGGACATGCGCCCTGGAGCAGGACGGCCGGGCCCTAGGAATTCCCCAAGCTGCTGGCCGCGCTGTGACAGTTCAGTGTCACCAGCGGAACTTGAGGGTGTCTGTTTCCTGGCATCCCACCGTCACTTAGTGTCCATGTTTCTGGTGTTTGCCAATCTAATTGGCAAAAATCTTATCATAATTTTCATTTCCCTGATTATGAACAAGTGGGTTTGGGCACCTCTTCATAACCCTGTGGGCCTTTGAGAGATCCCTTTTCAGGATGGCATTTCATACCTTTCGCTCAGTTTTTCTCTTGTGGGCTGTGGTAGGTGCTTCCAAAAAGGGGGCCCACCCTTCCTCCCCTCCCTGTGGGATGCTACCCCCCATCAAGGGGTGGAGTCTGTTTCCCTCCCCGGATCCAGGCCAGTCCTGGGGCCTGCTTTCACCAGTAGAATGCGGCAGAACTGGCATCTTGAATGTCCACGTCCAGGCCTTGGGAGGTCTTATCACTTTAGCTTCTGTCCTCCTCGAAGGCCGCTGTCACGTGAAGAGGTCCAGGCTACTCCTGGAGAAGCCACATGAAGCGTGACCTGGAGGGTCAGTGGCCATTGCGGACATTCCAGCCCCAGGTAAACCCCCAGCTCAGAGGCCCTGGCGACACCGCACAGGCCAGAGACAGCGCCGTCCCGCTGAGCTCTGTCCCAAAGCAGAAACCTGAGCCAAGGAATCGCTGAGTTTCAAGGCTCTAAGTGTTGGGGTGGTTTGTTATGCAGCCACAGGTAAGAAAAACAGGTGTTTTGCTTTGCTTGGTTTTGTCCTTTCTGCCTTGCAGGTGCTCCTTTTGTCTCCTGGCCGGGAGCCCTTTGTATATCTCTGGCGACTCTGCACTAGCCGCCGGCATCTCCCTCGCTCCCGCGGCCGTGCCGGTCACGGCACCCGGCCTTCTGCCCACAGATCTTCTCTTCCTGAGCATGGCAAAGCCCTTCAGGCGTCAAGAACTGAGTAACATCCTGTCGGGCAGTCCTGGGGAGGGTGGGCAGGAGTGTGACACTTTCTAAGGAGAGCTGCAGAGAGAGTGAGCTTGTGACCAGCCAGAAGAGGCAGAATCGGACTTCCAAAACCCGGCAAAGTTCTGGTTCAGAGCGTCCAGCTAAATGAGGCCATCTTTGCTTCTCCGCGCCTCCAACCTCTGCACCTGCAGTCCCCTGCCTGGAATGTTCTCCCCACACCCCCCTAGCATCTCTCTTCCTCCCACGTTGCCATGAGCATCTGACTGATTTCTTCAGGTCTGAGTCCAACGCCACCTCCTCGGAGAAGCCCTCCCTGACCACCCTGGTTGAAGTAGCCTCCAAGTCAGTTTATCACACTGGTCAGTTTCGTTTTCTTCATGATCTCTGTCTAGACCCAGAGTCATTTGATTTCCTGCTGCTGTCTCCTCTGCTAGGATGTAAGTTCCATGCGGGCACATAACAGGTTCTAAATAGATGTTTGTTGAATGAATAAATGGAAGAATGAGTGAGCGAAGAAATGAATCAAAGAGACCCCAGATCAGACGGTAAATGGCTTTCTCACAAATTCTGGTGTAGACTCATGTATTTACTGAACACTTGCAATGTGCCAGAAATTGTTCTAGTGCCAGAGTTGTAGCAGTAAACAAAATAACGTTTATATTTTCATAAGTTTATATTCTAGAGGAAGAGAAAGATAATAAACAAAAAAATAAATAATACAGTATCCTAAGTACTAAAAAGAAAAATATGGCAGAGTATGGGGGTGGGGAGTAACAAGGATGATATCCCAGACAGGATGGACAGGGAAGCCTCTCTGGGAGGTGATATCTGAGTAGGGCCTTGTGGAAAGTGAGGGAGGGAGCCAAGCATATATTTGGGAGCGGAGTGTTCTAGCAGAGGGAACCGCACATGCAAAGGCCCTAAGGCAGGAGGGTTGCGTATGTGGCTGGAGTAGAGAGGACAGGGGAGAGTAGTTGCAAGTGAAGTCAGAGAGGGCAAAGCTGTGGAATCTCCAGGCCAGGAATCTGGGGCTCTGAAGCTCTGTTATGTTCAGAAAGGCAAATAATCTCCGGGTCTAACGTTGATTAACATTCTTTATTTTACAGCATTTTTGATCAGAGTATTTGGAATCATGATTCATCTGGTTACAAATCCTGTGGGTTTCTCTATGAATGAACCTTCGTGCCCCACACAAGGGCACCACGCACCAACCCCAGGGGGCTGTAACTGATTAAATACTGACGGGCTCACTTGGAAAGGAGGTGGAGCTCAACCTCCAACTCAGGGCCTCTCCCCCTGCTCCCTGGGAAACACCATGACTCACTTTTGCTGTGTCAAGGACTAAATGAGTTCAGTCCCCGGGTGCTGCCTTCCTGGCCGCAGCCGAACTGCTCCTTGGGGGAATCTCAGCCCTCCAAGGCACAGGACGGGGGAGTGTGAGGGTTCAGGGTCTCTCTTCTGGTGCCTTTTTGGATGCTGGGCTAACACTGCGCCTTTCCATTCAGCAGACACTTCCTGAGTGCCTGCCCTGCCGAATAATGTGCTATTCATTGGGGGCACCGAGATGGTTCTGCTTGAAACAAGGAGGGAGAAAATCCTCTAGGACATCCCTCTCCAGCCCCAGGCTCATGGGAATACCTCAGTTTTCCCCATCTGTACAAGGGGACAATATTTTGCCTGCCTGAGACATTTTACCCTGGCCTTTTACAAGGCCCCAATTTATCTTTTGACTTTTCTCTCACCCCTGAAAAATGTGGCCTTTGCTAATTAAACATGCCTATCACTTGGAGTGGGGGTAGGAAGATAAAGATCAGCTGCCGGGACAAGAAGCAGCTGCTACCCTGCAGCCACAGAGGTCCCTGAGGGTCCTGGCTGGAGGGGCCATGGGTCACCTATGAGAAGGTGGAGCCCAGGCCTGGCCTTATCCCAGAATTATGGCTGAACTCAATCAGATTAAACAGGAGAATCCTAAACCTCTTGGGTAGAGATGTCAGCTGTGGTTTCTAGAACTCCCCTGGGGTGCTTGGGAGCCCAGAGAAACAGCAAGAAGGCTTTTCACAGTCTCTGTGGCCTTGGAAATTCCCATCACCTGTCCCTCCCCCTGTCTCCAGGGATTGGAAAAAAAAAGTCTCTGGCTGCTGTGTATTAACAGAAGTATTATACCATTCAAACAACTGCTGAAGGATGGAAACCAGCCGAGCAGAACGCACACTGGTTGTGAACAGCTGGAGCAACTGGACCGAAACATTGCAGCCCCCAAAGCCTCTCCCAGGAAAGTGATCCTTAAGAAGGTCTTTCTAGAGTGTAACTTAAAGTAGTCAGTGGGAGATAATATAAGCTGTGCCCATGGGGACAGATGGCCTCCTGTCCCAACTGTATAAGAAAAACGCCATTCCAGATTTGCTGATTGTTGCTGAAATTGGGCTCTCTTGCATCCTAACCATATAACAGCTCACAGATAAAGGAGCTTGTTTCTCAGGCAGCAGATCTGGGAGATATCTGGGCATTGAAGTGCATGAGAAAGAGAAAGTGTCCTAGATAATGAGCCTGTGGACCTGAGTGGACCACTGGAGGTTACACTCTTTGCTTGCTGCATACTGGATTACAGAAAAGAATTGTTTGTCCTGTAGGGTCCTAGCAGCAGGTGGTGGCGACAGCCCACTGGGAGGGCCCAACCTAAAGGGAGTCCCCCAGGGGAATTCAGAAGGTCTGAAGTGTGTCGTTGGCCAAGGTGGGTGGCAGTGCCGTGACATTGGCGGGATGGACAGCAGCCCAATCCGGGAAGGTGCCCAGCTGGAAGATGCTCTGTGCCCAGGTGTTCATGGCCAAACTGAGCAGCAGGACGCCCATCAGGTTCATCAGGAGGCCTGTCCGCACCTGCAAGGGAGCCACGTCATACGAATGGGAACACCCAGGCTCAGAGACGCAGAGGCATTCACCCAAGATCCCACAGCTGGGACGTGATGGAGCCAGGACACAAACCCAGGTTGGTCAATGCCCAAGACCCTTCCACCTTTACACTACCCTGTGCTGTCACTCAAAGAGCTGCAAATGTCCCCATCCATTCAGTGGTCTCTAGGTTCCAGGCATCGTGCGCTATGCCATCGTCAGAGGGTTATGTCATTTAACCCTGAAAGCAACCTTACAAAGGTTATTATTATTAATCCCAATTTTACAGAAGAGGAAAATGAGGCTCAGAGAAGTTAGCTTGCCTGAGGTCATGCAACTTAAGAATAATCTTGTCTGATCATTAAACACCCCAACCCTAAACATATACACATACACGTATGCACATGCATACACCCACACACACATACGTGTGCACATGCATGCAGACATGTGTGCGCGTGCACACATACACACTCTCTCTACATAGGTCTCTATAGGTCGAGGCTATACTTGTCTATTGAGTAGAATTTTCTTCTGTCTCCATCAACAGAAAGCCCCCTCCTTGGAGGCAGATCTGTCTCACCCACACTGCTGCGCCCCCAGTGGCTGGAACATAGAATGCACCCTGCAAATACTTGGGCGATGAGTTAACAAACAAGTCGCTGTCTCCCTTTGCCTCCTCTCTTCCCTGTTTGCTCTGTGTGTCTCCTCCTGCTTCTCTCTCACTCTTGCTCTCTCTCCATTTGTTCTGCTGGGATCCCGTGCCTGGAGCCTGCGCCGTGAGTGGATCAAGCAGACCGTCCTTCTCGGCTGCACCAGCTCAGAAAGGATTGTTTGCATCCCGATGCCCACCGCACAAACGCCCCAGGCAGCCAGTGGAGAAGGAAGAGGCTGCAGGAGGCGGAAGAGTGGAGGCAGGAGCTGGTTCAGCAGGGAGCTTCGGGGACAGGGAACACTTTGCCAATGGCTGGGCCCTGCTGAAAGCCGGTGGGTGCCCCCTACTGCCGCAGCCCTCGGCTTCTCTCTCTCTCCCGGGCACTGAGGCCCACCCTTGAGTCCCAGGGCGCGTCTACTGCTCTCTCTCCTAAAGATCCTCTTCTCTCGTAAAGGCACAGAGCAGGTGGCCAAACAAGCAGGAAGAGAGCTGTGCCCAGAGAGAGGGGGAAGTCCTTTGTCCCTGAAGCAAACAGTGGAAAGTAGTCACTTAAAGCAGTGTTTCCTGAAATTGTCTAAGCATGAGAATCACCCCAGAGTGTCTGCTAAAAAGTACACTCCTGGTCCCACACAGAAGGAGCTATTCAGAGATGGGGCATGGGGTGAGGGGCCCAGGAGCCCTCCCCCACCACCCACCCACCTCTCAGGCCTCTGCTAGACGGTGCCCAGACTCACCATGTCTTTGGCCAGCAAGTGTCCAGAGGCAAAGGCGATTGAGTTGGGGGGCGTTGAGACCGGGAGCATGAAGGCATAGGAGCAGCCCACCGTGCCGGGGATCATCAGATACAGCGGGTGCACCCTCAGGCGGATGGCCTGGGCCAGGAAGAGGCGGGAGAGAGCAGGGTAGAGACAGGTACAGAGAGACCAGAACAAGCGATGGAGATAGTTGGAAAGAGAGTGACGCAAAGACGTAGAGGCAGAAAGACAAAGACACACAGGGAGGGGCAGCGTGAAGAACAATGGAGAGAAGAGAGAGTCGGAGAGAGAAATGCAGTCCGAAAGACAGACGCACAGGCAGAGGCAGACAAGAAGGGAACCAGACAGAGAGAGGGAGAGAACATTCCCAGGGTTAGTGACATTCCAAGTGCTGTTTCATCAGCGATGGGCTGGGGCGATCTATGTAGAACACTCCTTCTCAAATGTGAACGGGCATCAGGACCACCTGGAGAGCTTGTTAAAACCCAGAGGGTTGCCCCACCCTGCCCAGAGTGGCCGATTGGGCAGGTCTGGCTGGACGCAAGAATTTGCATTTCTAACAAGCTAACAAGCTCCCTTGGTGACGCTGGGGCTGCAGGCTGAGAACCAGGGCTCTGAAATCACCAGCCCCCTGCCTGGTCCCTCGCTCAGCCAAACAACCCCAACAACTGGCCTCTGGTTGCCTTTGCTTGGGGGTCTCACTGACTTTCAGAGATAAAGTGAGCTCAGGATGGCATCTGTTGGCAAGCTTCTCCAAATTTCTAAGATCGTGGATCAAAAGTGTCTATGAGCTGGCCTCAATCAGCAGGCCACCATTTGTCACCTCTCTCCCCTCTAAGTCTCTGTCAATTTACTTAAGATAGGATGCTTTGGTCCCTGTAGGGAATTTTTGCAGCCCAAAGCATATACTTTTACTCAAAAAGTTCTAAAAATCACTTCCTTGTGCGTAAAATGTTTTGATTTTGATAGTAAACACAATTTACAAGAATGCGACCTTTGTGAGTGCCTTTTCCAGCAAAAGCTGCCCCTTATAAACCTTGTTGGGTCCTCTGCTTCCTTCCCTCCCCCATACCACGCATAATACCCCCATTTCTCTCAATTTCCAGGTCCCTCAGATCCTGGGAAAGGGTCTAATTAAATCCAATCCCACCCAGCAAGAGCATGGCGACTCCCACCCCACACTGCTGGCCGGAGTGTAAAATGGTGAGCCACTTTGGAGGGCAATTTGCTCATATCTAGCAAAATTTTTAATGCACATGCTCTTTGATCCAGCAATCTCAGTTAGAGAAATTTCTCTAGATGTCATCAAAGAGGCACAGAACAGGCAAAGTCAAGGCAGCATTGTAGATAATAGCAAAGTCTGGAAACACCTATATGTCCATTAGTAGGTGATTGATTAAATATACTGACGACTATCCATTTGTAATGGAATATTCTCCAGTCATTGAAAAATATTATAATGTATATCTGTGTGCTAATATGGTGTGACCTCCATTACAAATTGATGCAAAAACTAAGCAAACAAAAACTAAACACAAGGTGGTGCAGATAAGTGTGTCATTTGCATACAAAGCATTTACTTGCAACATTGATCTAATTTGATCAGTTTGGGATTATATTAAGATAATCACATGGTTTGGTGTTCTTTAATCTGCTTAAATATAAAACCATATCGATGGTTTCCTTTTTAAAATTTCTAGTATAAACTCTACCTGATTATGATTTTCATACAATCCTGGATTCATCTTGCTGTTTGAGTCTCTGTTTATATATGAGATCGAACTATAGTTTTCTCCTCCTTTGCTCTCCTTCTCTGGTTTGGGTGTCAGGGTTTTGCTAACCTTACACATGGATTGAATGGCTTTGTTTATTTCTCTGTGCTCATGAACAGTTTGGGTGAGTTGGGAACCATCTGTGCCTTGAAGATTTGTTAGCTCTCCCCTGTGGCTGGTGATTTTTTGTCCAGTGGTTCTCAACCAGGCGGGGAAAGGGGGTGATTTGTGCCCCCAGGGGACACTTGGCAATGCCTGGAGACATTTTGGATTGTCACGATTTAGGTGAGTAGAGGCCAAGGATGCCGCTAAACATCCTCCAGTGCAGAGGATGGCCCCTACGATTCAGAATGACCCAGCCCAAAATGCCAGTAGTGCTGAAACTCCTCCTGTAGATGGAGGCTACAGCTTCGCCTACTGTTAGAGTTTTTCCTGTGGTTATTTGTCTACTTAGATGTTCTGCTTCTTCTTAATCCAAATTTGGTGATTTATATGTTCTAGAAAACTCTCCATGTCACCATGGGTTAATTTTCTCAAAAGAGAGAATTGAGGGCACTTTGAAAATATTTACTCTGTTTATGCATGCCTTGACAAAAAAAAAAAAAAACTAGTATTTAAAAAAAAATGTACTGTGGTTCTGACACTTTTGTGCATTTTAGAAGACAGCAATGGCAACCGTAGCCCCCAGGGAAGCTCCCGGTAGCAGGGGAGAGATTCGGAACCTGTTTTGGGAGAGGGGTGCCCCTCCTTCCCCAGTAGGACCCTCACCAGCTCCGCCAGCACCGGCAGGAAGATGATGATGGTGGCCGTGTTGCTGGCAAACTCGGTGAAGAAGGCGATGACGACGGTGATGAGCAGCACGGCCAGCGCAGGGGGCACGTTCTCCAGGGGGTGCAGGTGCCCGCCGATCCACACAGACAGCCCCGACTCCTGCGGAGGGGACGGCAGCCCTTCACACCCCAGCCCACCCTGGCACTCCAGCCACGCCTCAGAGAGAGCGCTGGGATGGATCACGACAACGACAACTGTACCCCTTCACAGATGCGGAGACTGAGGTGCAGAGGGAGCAAGCGACGTGTCCAGGGTCACACATTAGAGCCAGCAGCCTCTCTACCTCTTGCACTGCTCTCCACTCCATTCCCCACAGGCCAGGGCCCCAAACCCCTGGGCCCCCAATAATCCATCTGGATCTAACACCCCTAAGTTCCAACTTGAGCAGGAGAGGGAAATCGGACCTTCCATGGTAAATCTCCTCATCCTTCCAACAACGGTTATTAATTACCAAAATATCAACGATTACTTATATAAAATATTCATTATCGTTATACTTATATAATACGCTATTAATATGTATCATATATATATAAGATTTCCTATATGGCATATATAATATAAAATATGTATCAGATATGTATCAAATGCAACACAATGTAAGTATCAATAGTTAAGATATTTATGGTCAGTAGTAAGGAAGATTAACACAATGGTGATAATGCAGATAGTAACATTGTATTATTATTTGTTGACATAAGAATCACCATTACTGAGGCTTCGCAGGGGCCAGGCACCTGCATGCACTACCTTGTTGACCCTTCCCAGCCATTCCGTAAGGTAGGTATTATTTGTCCCTGTTTCACTGTGGAGGAACCTGACCTGGGAAAGTTTTTGTAACTTGCCCAAGGTCCCCAAAAGTAGCCACTGAGATAGACATCCACCTCCGTTAGCTAATGCGCTTCTGCACAGCTCCCTACCACTCAGCACCTTCCTCTGGACACTCTGGTCTGTCACTTCAACTCTTAATTAATAACAACGCCCAGAGCTGGCCACTGTCCTCCAGGACAGAGAACGGTAGGGAGGTTCCCCAGGACTTCACTCTCTCGCCCATGCTGCAGAATTATTGGATTGCTCTCTCTGCTGACTTTTCCAGAAGTTACCCTATTTGCAAGTATGTAATATGCATATGCCCCACCCCCCCCGCCCTTCCACCATCAAATACATTATCCTTAAATAACCCTGAGCCAACACACCTTCATTGTGACCACAAAGGGCAAAGCAGAGGACGCCAAATTATGCTCGATGCTACCCCCTAGTGGTGCCATGGAGCAATGGCGCAATGAAGCTACAATGGCACGGTCCTATAGGTTGTCTGCTAAACACAGACAGCAAAGCTGAGGTGTCATTAGGAGTTGATCAAGGGCAGAGCTGGATTAGTCCCCTAACATTTAGAATCAAATGCATTTATACCACAGCCCTTTTGTCAACCCTATACCAAAGAAACTCTATACATTTTCTTTTATCTTTAATAGAAAATTCACTGCTTGTTCAGGGCTTAAAATTTCATAAACGATTCTAGAATACGGTGTACCGTTTTTACATAAATAAAATAATATATTTGCCCCTAAAATTTGACTTAAAATTTACCTTCAATGCACAAATAATCAATGCTTAAAAATATTTTTTTCCGGCCGGGCGCGGTGGCTCACGCCTGTAATCCTAGCTCTCTGGGAGGCCGAGGCGGGCGGATTGTTTGAGCTCAGGAGTTCGAAACCAGCCTGAGTAAGAGCGAGACCCCGTCTCTACTAAAAATACAAAGAAATTAATTGGACAACTAAAAATATATAGAAAAAATTAGCCGGGCATGGTGGCGCATGCCTGTAGTCCCAGCTATTCGGGAGGCTGAGGCAGTAGGATTGCTTGAGTCCAGGAGTTTGAGGTTGCTGTGAGCTAGGCTGACGCCATGGCACTCTAGCCCGGGCAACACAGTGAGACTCTGTCTCAAAAAAATATATATATATATTTTTTTCCCCTGGAAGCGTCCTTGTATGATTAGGGTGTTTCTCATACAACTGCTCTGTCTGACGTCTGGCAAATACGGTATGATGCAGAGTGGGGGCCCCAGCCCTTCCCCTGGCCCGGGGGTGCTGCGAGGGAAAAATGGGGCCACTGGTTTTTCCCATAGGCCACAGCCCTAGCAAAGGACCTACCCCAGCGTGTGCAGTTAAACAGAGAGAGGTTGGAGGGAGAGAATATTAATGCCCTGGGCGAGTGAGAAGCCAAGCGCTTCCCTGTAGCCGGGCCTCTGAGTGACGGGCTTCCAGCCAGCGTCCGGCGGCCACTCAGGCTGTGGCTCGGCTCCCACGCTGGAGCGAGGTCGGGCAGCTTCGTGAGACGGGACACCCCCAGTTGCCTGGGGTTCTGTTGGGGACTCTCAAGGGACTTCACCTGCTCATTCCCATTCCTGTACGAATCGGAAGCTGTTTCCTTGGAAACACACAGCCCCACAGTGTTCCCAGGGACTGCACAGGCCAGCAAGAGCCAAGGTCAGAGGCGGTATGGTCAGAGAGTCAGGAGAAAGGGCTCTGGAGTCAGACTGAGTTTGTTTCCCAGCTTAATCCTTCTAGCTGTGCCATCCTGGGCACGTAACTTAACCTCTCTGTGCCTCAGTTCCCTTATCTGTAAACCAGGGATACTAATCGTGCTTGTGCCAGGGGGTCATTGTTGAGAGAACAGAAGCTAACCTATAAAGCACCTAGAGAAGTGGCTGGGCACTTGCTAAGTGCCTGATGCATGCCAGCTGTAATTAGTACCACCAAGTCACGAGATGCCAGAAGTGGTGGAACTCAGAAATCGCCCAACGCAGTGGTTGTCAAACTGTGTTCCTTAGGGTCCCCAAAGATGGCCAGAAGTACCTGAGGCCACTTTGCAGGATGGGGTGGGGGAGACTCAGCAGGATGACGCCCCCCTCTTCTTCCTCCTTCCTACTTCAACCAGGCTCTTCTTGGTCCCTTCGATATATAATAGGGTCACATCTCATAAGGAGGATGTTATGATGTAAATTCAACACTTCAAGTCAAAATCCCCTGTGGCCAAAAACGTCCTAAAAATTTTGTTAAAAGACTCTTATCACACAGTAGGCTCAGCTGTGTGTATACAACTTTGTATAATAATTCTTAGGTAGAGAAACCAGTGAATCGGATTGAAGGAAGGAAAAAAGAGAAGGCTTTACGCACATGTGTGAACAGCCAAACCTCTGCACCATTTACCTTGGGCAAATTAATTAACATCTCTGTCCTTGATTTGTTTAAGAGATTGCAGGAAGGATTAAATGAGTCCACATAAAAACAGTCCCTGTATACAGTAAGCACTGAATGTAGTTCATTGTTACTTATTATATTTAACAATCACAAGGCCGGGCGCGGTGGCTCACGCCTATAATCCTAGCTCTCTGGGAGGCCAAGGCGGGCGGATTGTTTGAGCTTAGGAGTTCGAAACCAGCCTGAGCAAGAGCGAGACCCCCGTCTCTACTAAAAATAGAAAGAAATTAATTGGACAACTAAAAATATATAGAAAAAATTAGCCGGGCATAGTGGCACATGCCTGTAGTCCCAGCTACTCGGGAGGCTGAGGCAGGAGGATTGCTTGAGCCCAGGAGTTTGAGGTTGCTGTGAGCTAGGCTGATGCCACGGCACTCTAGCCTGGGCAACACAGTGAGACTTTGTCTCCAAAAAAAAAAAAAAAAAACAATCACAATATAGTGCTTACTCTGTGCCCAGCACTCTTCTAAGTACTTTTCTAATATTAACGTATTTAATCTTCATAAAAACCTTATGAAGTAGGTAATATAGATGCTCCTTAACTAATTATGGGGTTATGTCCCAAATTCACTAGGCCGACTATCCAATAAAATGGTAACAATAATACAGACGTCTCAGATTTCTGGCAGACAATGAGGGATTGGGGAGAGTACATGTTTCTCTTTGCCTGTAGGGTGTGCTCCACTCTGACTTAGTATCGAGCTTCTATAACCTCAATATATTTGTAGTAAGTTTATTGTGGTGATTAAAGATATCTATATATGTGTATGCGTGTACATATATATGTGAAGGTAACAGAATCAGATCAATCTTTTATCCATAAGATAGTAAAATAATAAGAACAATAATAGTGAGGATGGGGGCGGCTCCTGGTTCGAGCACCTGAAATGTATCAGCCGTCTGCTAGGCTCTATCCATACACTATGTTGTCAGTCCTCAGAACAGCCCATCTTATAGGTCATAGCTACAAGTATTTGTCGAGCACTGGTATGTACCAGGATTATTCTAGATGCCCAGAGCAGGCTGGATAAGACAGATCTGGTCCCTGCCCTCCCGGAGCTTCCATTCTAGCAAGACAGACAACCAATGAACAAACCGCCCCCAGGATCCTGTGGGGGTCAGATGTGGGATAAAGGAGACAGGCAGAGTCACAGGAGGGGGGACTGGGGGTGGGGCTGCAGGATGCTTGGGGGCCCAGGAGGGCGTCTCCGAGGAGCTGAGACCGGAAGAGCGAGGACTCAGGGATCGCAGGAAGCACACCCGACAAGGGAAGGGGCCGGTGAGTCTCAGGTGGCTGAGAAAGAGCCAGGGGCCAGCAGGGGACTCCAGGAGGGGAGAGAGGGAGGTGCGGGTGTCGGGGAGGCACGCAGGGGCCAGGCCACACGCAGCTGTGTGCCCAGGGAAGCCTCTGGACTCGAGTTTAAGCACATGGGGCGTCACGACTACATGGTTTGCAGCGGGAGAAGACTGCAGTGAGGACACTAAGTTGGCTTAAGTGAATTGCATGAGAATATACTTCCGGCCTTCGGAACCAGCAGTGGGGAGCCCACACATCCAGGCTCATCCTGGACCGCATCCAGGGACCTCGAAACCTCACGCGGCCTGGCTGTGGCCTGGCAAAGGTGGGCAGGGGCCCGGAACCAGGATGTGCCATAAGCATTCTGGTCCCTCCCGGCACAGGCTGTGGCTGCCTGGGGAGAAGATGGTACCAGCAGAGGTTGGGGGAAAGGGGCAGCTTCCACACAAAGCCCTTGTTGAACAGAAACCCCGGCCAGCTGCCCAGGGCTGGGCTGAGAGCCAGACTGGCCTCCCAGCATGCTCCGCGGTCCTGCAGCCCAGCCCCCACCGAGAGCCTGCTCTTCTCCCCACACCCCCAGAGCTCAGAGAAGCCCCTAGGCTGCAGGATCATCTCATCCAGACCCCTGCCTCAGGGCCAGGCTGGGTTCAGATCACCACAAAGCAAATGGCACCATTTCCACAGAGCTGCTCTTGCCGTGACCCTCCTTGTCATCCTTGATGCTGATTTTCCCTTTTCAACATCCAGTCACAACAACCACGGATTCTAGACCCAGACTATCTGGATCTAATCCTGATCCCACAGCTGTGTGATGTCGGGCAAGTTGCTTTACCTCTCTGTGTCTTGAGGGTGTGGGTAATAACGGCATCTACCTCGCAGCTGTGTTGGGAGGTTTAGGGATGTTTCACGGAGCCTGGCTCGGGGCGAGCACAAAAACTGTTATTTCTCTTTACTCACAGCCCGTAAGTCATGTTATTATTAGTATTAGTCTTAATATTTTGCCCATCATGAGCTCCCTGAGGGTCCAAATCATTCCTTTTTCCTCTCTTTCTCTGCAGCACCAGGCACTGAGCATGGGCCCATGTGATTACCCCAAATCTGGCGAGTGAGGAGCAGGCCCGTGTCGTGCCCTGCTCTGATCCTGGACCTGCCCCCGCCTCCCGCACTGCCGCCCACCGCGGCTCTGCGCCCGCCTTACCTCGCAGCCTTTGGCCATGGCGAAGCCCCCTCCCAGGAGGAGGATGATATGCCAGGGCACCGTCTCCTGGGCCTTCCTCCACGTCAGCAGGGGTTCTGTCTCCGTGTTGGGAGCTGCGCAGAGAGAGGGATTCCGCACACTCAGCGCCGCCCAGCCTGAGGAAGGGGCCGCCAGCCCCGCAGCCCCACCTTGTGGGGAGCCTCAGGGGTCCCCAGGAAGTCAAGGTCTGGCTCCAGCATCTGACGTGGAGGTTTAGAGTGAAACCTCACAAGCATCAGGACGGGATGTCTGCTCTATTCAGAATGTAGTAATTTTCACGACTCCCACGGCTTGAGAATTTTCTAGAACTCCACACGCAGGACATCACTTAAATCTCCCAACAGCCCTTCAGCACAGGTGCTATTTTTATTCCCATTTATAAAAGAAAAGGCTTTCTTTGTATTTGAATGGGTACAGAGAGGAACAAAAGAGGAAGGAAATTCCGAAAAATAGAAACTAAGCGTATCTTGGGCCCATGAAACTATGGGATGATTTTTTATTTCCTCAGAAGTGGCGCTGTGCTGCGGTGGTTAGAACGGGCAGCGGATCAGCAAACGTTTTATGTGAAGAGTCAGAGTGAGTATTTTAGGCTTTGCAGCCACACGTAGAGTCCCTTGTAACTACTCCGTCACTGTGGCATGAAGGCAGCCAGCGACCACCCATAAACAGATGGGCACAGTGCAAATAAAACTCTACTTGCAAAAGCAGGCGCTGGGCCAGATGTGGCCCACGGGGGCAGTGTGCTCTCCCTGGGCTGGAAGCACGGGCCTGGAGACGAGGCCTGCGTGCCCTTGGAAAGTGACCTTGCCTCTCCGAGCCCCGCGTCCTCAGCCGACACATGGCACAAGACGAGGACCTCGAGGGTCCCTGTGAACACTGACTCAGGCAATGGTGGGTCTGCCCACCGCTCTCCGGAAGCTGAGCAGGAGACACGGTAAGGGAACAGAAGCTATGAAAAAGCGAGACTGAAATGAAGCAGAAGCCATCAAGATGCAAAAACTGAGACCCGCAGAAACTCCGAGGCGGCCAAGAAGTGGCGAGCAGAGGGACTGGTGAGGACAGACAGGGGGAAGAGGGCTGGGGGCCGGGGGCCAGGGAGGGGGAGAAAAGCTGAGTCGCTCCACCGCAGAGCCCGCGGGCCCACAGCTGAGCCTCCCCGGGTTCGGGTCCAGCCTTCCCCACCCAGGTCCACCTGTGCTACCAGAACCGTTTAGGGAGGGCTGGGAAACAGAGCCTCGCACCATGCTCCCCCAACTCAAACCCCGACTCTTCCATGGCCTGCTCTCCCGCCTACCACTCTGCTGTTTTCTTCCACAATAGAAGATAGCTAGACTACTCCTGACCCCGGGTCCAGAGCGCATCCCCCTGCTCCAGGGAGAGGGAGAACGGGCCAGTCCCTGGCCTCTGTCCCGGGGGCAGGTGTCAGCGTCACCTTCTGGTAGACATCCGCTGGAAACCCAGTGGGGCTACGGGTGGCGTCAGAAGGCCAGCCTAGAGACGTTTGGTTACGGGCACTCAGTGATGTTTTAAAAATTGAATTTGAACTTCGAGCAGTTTTGCCTCAGCCCTGCCACTTCCTATTCAGTGGAAACCCAGCGTGGGTTTCTCACGCCTGGCTCCGTAGGCGACCCAGGTGCCACTCCACTGCTTTGCGCCAATGGGTCGGCGACATTTTTCCATAAAGAGTCAGAGAGTAAATATTTTTGGTTTTGTGGGCCAAGAGGCAAAATTGAGGCTATTGTGTAGGCACTTATATAACTAAAGAAAATAAATTTCCACGAATTTCTTGAGGAAATGCAAAACTTTATTTATGCGACACTGAAATTTGAATTTCATGTAACTTTCTTGACTCGTGAAATATTTTTCTTTTGGTTGTTTTTCGACCATTTAAAAATGTGAAAACCATGCTTAGCCAATGGGCTGTACAAAAACAGCAGCTGGATCTGGCTCGAAGCCTGCAGTTGCTAACCCCTGTCCTGGACTGTCACCGTGGGCGGCCCCAAGTTTCCAGACAAGGTCACTGCTCAGACAGCGAAAGGGGGAACAGGCGGGGTCACGCGGCTACTACCGGGGGCTGCTCCAGGCCACTGATCACCGCGGGTCGTGCCGCAGTCCTCCCCAAGCCCGCCGAGACCCCGGCCTTGGCCACCTTACCTTTGAAGTCAAACCACCACTTGAGAGAGGGCTTTTGGGACGGGAAGAAGAACAAAATGATGACAATAGACACGCCGGTGACAGCATCAGAAAGAAACCTACAAATGAGAAGGCCCCAAAGCATGTGACCCCAGGCATCTCAGCAGGCACAGTTTGGCAGATTCGCAAATGGGGATTTGTGGGGATTAGGCCTGCTGTGAGGGGGCATTGTTGGACGCGGTGCCACCGGATTCCGTCCCACTGCACCCAGCACGAAGACGCAAAAGCCCTTTATCCACAGCTGCCCGGGCATTGAGATGCTGCTTGAGCCCAAACGCTTATCCTCCCGATTCCAGGACCTTAGGAAGAAGGACTTGACCAAAGAGGAAGAATCTGAGACCACACAATATTCGGGTCCATGGAACCCCTATAAATCACCCTAACCTGGACCCCCGTAAGAGCCTTGTGTATATTTGTGCAGCTTGTGCTTGTACCCTTCCTGGGGTGGGCAGCTCACCACGTGATAATGCGGTCCGCTCACCCGGTAGAGCCCAGATAGACTCCACGTTAAAACCTAACCATCACCTTTGAAGCATCCACAGTGTGTCCTCTGGGGGAGGTGTGTCGACACTAAGCACTTCGGGCAGGCACCTTCCATTTCAGATGGGGAATCGGAGGGTGTCAGAGAGCAGAAACAACTTGTTCAAGGCCAGACCGTGGACTGTGGAGATGGGCCTTGAACCCAGATTGTCCTGGCTCCAAGTTCAAGGAATCCCAGAGCCGATTGCTAATAGAAGCTCTCTCAGCTCACACATTTGGAAAGAAGAGTATTCAAATAGCCAGGAAGTTGGGAGAGATGGTCACTATCACTATAATCAAAGAAATACAAATCGAAACCCTAATGGAAGCCCATTCGTCTGCCAACAGTCAAAACTTGAAAAGGGGGATTCAACCTGGCGAGGGTGTTGGGAACACAGACTGGTAGTGGGAGAATAAGTGGGTTTAACCTTCTGGAGGGCATATTTTGAAAAACATTTGAAAATTTTACATGTGAATACTCCTTGATCTAGTTATTCTACTTCTGGGAATTTATCCTCTAGAAGGAATTGGACTCTTGTGCACAGATTATACATAGGGATGTTCATGATCAAGAAGAGCAAAGAAAAAAAAAGGAAGATTTTTGCTCGGGACATGTTTAAATAGTGTCCCATCCACATTATGAAATACCCTGCATCTGTTTTTTTTTTGAAAAATAAAAGATAATGTCAATCTTTATGTATTGACATAGAACTATGACAAAAAAGATCAAAATACATAACCTGCCCGACAAGACACGCTGTGACCTGCCCTCACCGGCCCTTCCAGCCGCGTCTCACCCGTCCCCCTCCCTTCTCACCAGGCCTGCGTCACACGGGGCTTCGTTCCATTCTTCCAACGGCTAAGTTTGTTCCTAGCTCAGGTTTCAGTAGAAGACACTCCCAGTGCGTCTCCACTGCTTTGATCTCCATCTTTGGTTCTTTCCAGAACTATCCAAAATCAATGCTCCCATCCCATTATTTCATAATATAGCCCTCTAACGCTTTCCTTCATAGCACTCATTACAATTTGCAGTTATTTTGTTGTCTATTTGCTTTTTACTGTGTCCCCAGCATCCAGCATGATGCTTAGTACATAATAGACTCTCAGTAAATGTTGATTGAATGAATGAATGAATGATTTACTCAGAATCACACAGCTCATAATAGCAGAGCTAGATTTCAAACCCAATTTTGTTTAATTCCCAAGCCAAAGCTCCTAACACATGAGAAACCAGATGTTATCCAAATCTAAACTCTTTTGAAAGTGAAATAGGAGCCCATTATTAATTATATTGACTATTGATTATTTTATTGATTATAGATTACTGATTATTATAATTATTGATTAATTATTATTGATTATAATATAATAATATATTATAATGGTATTAATATTAACACAATTACTATTACAACCTGGACATGAGTCTCCCCAGCTGTACTGCCTCTCCAGATCGAGGTGGCCCCTCCCAGAATCCTCCCTGTTGGACTCCATCCTGGGGGTCCCCAGAATCTCACCCAGGAGTGAAGAGGCTGGCCCAGCCAGGGATGAACTTCGGGTCCCGGCAGAAGAGGAGGATGGCGAACGCGCAGAAAAGGACGAAAACAGCCCGTTCAGCAAACCTGTGGCACAGACATGCAGGTACAGTGGTGACCCTGGGTTTCAGGCAGATGGCAGCGTGGGGCGGGCTCAGGCAGGCGCCCACAGGGTGTGACTGGGCCCAGGCCCCACCTCTGCGAAAGCTGAAAGAAACAATCCACTCTCCGGGAAGTCCCCGGCTGCGGGGAGGAGTGTCCCATGGCATAAGTAATTCATGTCCCGGGGCTTCCACACTCCCCCAGGATCCTTCCTGGGCATCAAGCCATCCCTCTCCCCAAACTGTTTATATCATTATCACTGGGAGTTTGGCAGGGTCCTATAGAAAATCAAAGAGAGAAAAAGAAAGAAACAGAGACAGTGTCAGAAAAGCCGAGAGAAAGGGACACAGACAGACAGAAATGGAGGTAGGCAGAGAGGGGGCAGTCAGACAGCGGGAGACAGACAAACACACGTGGGAGGAAGACGACAGACACACAGGGAGGGTACAATCATGGAGAGACGGGAGGACACAGGTGGAAAGAGACTCCCCAGATGTTGGAGGAAATAGCTGCCCAGCGTACCCATTTCTCAGACTGGGGAGCAGAGCCCAGAGAGGGTTAGCACCTTGCCCAAGGCCACACAGGATTTTAGCGGCAGAGCCAGTCCTTGACACAGGCCTGCTGAAGCCTAGTTACTGTTGCCACAGGGGAAACATGAGTTAAACAAGGTCTTAGAAACCACCTGAGACAGTGCCAGATATCCTGTGTACTAGCAGGGAAAGGGTGCGTTAGGCGGGAAGGTGGCACAACCATCCCCAAGGAAACCCCGAGGGGCTTTTCGGTCCTCAGGGATCTACGACCAAGGCAAGAGGCTGACTGTGGAAGCGACTTCCCATCCTCCACCTCCGGGCTGCCCAGCCATCGGTCCTGAAATTCCGCTGGGACTCAGCCCCCATGGGCCCCGGTCCAGGCCAGGAGGGAGCTCTCCTGAAAGCCTAATGCCTGGCTCGCTCCCTGCCCCAAGGACCCTCACGCACTTGGTGGGCCCCAGGTTCTGGAATTCTTCTCGAATCACAGCTCGAGCTCTATCTTCTGCGTCAGCTCTTATCTCAGATTTCTTCTTCCTCCAGCCGCTGAAACAGAAAGTGGGTGATTAGGAGTGGTCTCCGCAGATGTGACTAACTTCTCACCTGCCACCACTGCCACCGCCCAGCCACGCCACGTCACCTCTGTTCTGGAGATGCACCTGTCTGATGACTGGTCTTCCTGCCTCTGCTCTTCCTTTCCTAAACCTGCTCTCCCAACTGTAGCCTGGCTGATCTTTTAAAAATGTGAATCTGATCATGTGACTCCCAGGCTTAAAATCCGTTAGTGGGTCAAACAGGCACTCAGATAAACAGACAAATCAATGGGAAAAAAATAGAAAGTCTGGAACGAGACTCAATCACAAATGGAAATTTGTTCTACGATAAAGTTGGTATCTCAGACTGCTGCGGAAAAGATGGGCCGGCGAATGTGTTGGGCACAGAGATCACTGGAGTACGGCTCTCTGTCGGGGGCTGTACTGGGGCAATGCGCCAGTGGAGGCCTGGCTGGGAGGAAGAGTTCTCACTGCACACCTCTTTGTAGTGTTTTGACTTCTGAGAACTATATGTGTGTGTTGCCTATCCAAATTAAATAAACAAATGAATTTTGAGAAAGCAAACAAACACCACAGTGGCTCTTTTGTGTGAAGATCGAACTCCCCCAAGGCCCTCAACAACCAACTCTAGGGTTTCTCAACCTCAACACTATTGATAATTCCTTGTTGTCCTGTGCATTGTAGGACGTTAAGCAGAATCCCTGGGCTCTACCCACTAGGTGCCAGTAGTACTTCCTCAGTTGGGACAACCAAAATATCTGCAAGTGTTGCCAAATGACCCCTAAAGGGGAGGGCAAAATAATCCCCTGTTGAAAACTCCTGTCTCCTTCCCTGGCCTTGTCTCCCACAGATCTCCCCCCGCCCCCGCTCCCTAAACTCAGTCACTTAATCTCTCAGTTCCAGAACATTCCTTGCTACCTCAGGGCCTTTGCACTTGCTGTTCTAGCTCCCTAGATTGATCTCTATTCCCATCTCCTTCCCTCCCTTTACCGAGCCAAGTCTGCCCATTATGCATATCCCAGTTCAACAGTCAGTTCCCCAGAAAGCCCTCCTGACTCCCAGGTTGGGTGAGCCCACCCGTGCACACCTCATCGTGCAGTCTTCTTGCCCTTCGTGGCATTTATCACCACTTGTCATCATCGTGTGTTTCCCCCATCTAGAGGGCAAGCTCCCCAAGGGCAGGGAGGACCTCTGCCTTGGCCACTTCTGCCTCCTCGAGACCCACGACAGTGTCAGGCACATAGTAGGTGCTCAGCTGATATTTTCTGAGTGAAGATGGAGTCATGGGACTGGCCTGGAACGTCTCTGTTACCCACTCAGAAGCACCTCTCTCCCTGGGTTTCCTCCATCACAGCCTCCTCGGAGGCCAAGTACTACAGGTGCTACGAGAACATGCAGACAAGACAAACGGCCTCTGTTTCAGGCTCAGTCTCAGTTTACACACTCTTTCTCCTTTAGGCTTTACTTCTGCTGTAGCTAGCTAATTTTTATCCTCAATCTGCAAGTGAAGAAATTAAAGAAATTAAAAGCTCAGGGAGGTTCCAGAGTTGCTCAAGATCACATAGAACCATGATTCGAACTCTGGTCCATCTGAACCCAAAGTCTGGGCTTGCTTCTCTGGGTCGAGCTGGGCTTTGGACCCTGAGTTTCTGCTATCAGGAGTCCTGGAAGGCATCTGAGTCAAGGACCATCGCATCGGAGCCTTTCTGTTCTAAGCGTTTTCACACCTCTTTGCTCCAGAGTTGCTTCTACTAGTCCCATTTTACAGATAAGAAAATTAAGGCCTAGAGATGAGGGAAGGAGACTCGGTCAGAGAACAACTATATAACATGCCTACCACGCCATCCCCAGCTCTGAGCTGCGTCTCCTCTTTTGGTATTTCTCAACCTCCAGGCATTCATAACCTACCTTCACAAATGTCGCTATAACTGCATACCTCCTGGCTCTCGTATTTGCTTCACATTTTCCTCCAAAAAATCTCACCATTTTAATTTTAAAAATGTATGTAAATAGAGAATTTTACATCAGTCCCATAAATAGAAAATAAGAATCACTTGTAATACATAGAAAGTAACCATAAAAATAAATATATCAGCAGGGCATGGTGGCCTACACCTGTGGTCCCAACTACTGGGAAGGCTGAGGTGGGAAGATCACTTGAGCCCAGGAATTCAAGAGCAGCCTGGACAATACAGCAAGATCCCATCGCAAAAAAAAAACCCAACCAAAATAAATAAGTAAATAAATAAAACAAAAGTAAATAAATTAAAAAAAAGTAAATAAATAAACGAAAGCAAAGCACCGCCATTATATTTTGGCTAGACACCATTACTGGCTTAAGTCTCTGGGCCTGGAGCTTGCGCTTTCTTTGTTTAAAAGGCTGATTTAGAAATGTTAGAGAGCTGGTAAAGTTTCTCCGGCTCATGTGAGACTTTCTCCTCAGCATAAGCTGATCGAGTTGATGAGAGTTGATAAAGAAACATTCTTCCCACAATATGTTTTGATGTTATTTAATACCTTGTTCTCGTGCCACCCCAAATTATCTTCTCTACCGGGGCCCCACAAAATGGGAAACATTGCACTCCTCTCTCCTCTGGTCATGAGTGTTTACCTTACTTAAAGACAATAATACTATTAATAGTTATTAATGATGGGGGACACTAACTGAGAGCCTGATTGTGGCGGGCAGGCCATTCACACTCCCGATCCTCATGTCCCTGGAGGTCAAGCCACGAGGATATGACATGAAGTGGTAATAACCGTCCACAGCGTGGGCAGGTGGAGACTGAGACTAGGAAGGCCGCTCCCTGATGAGCCGGGAAGCCGGGATCCAGCACGGTGCAGCGTCGCTGCAAAGCCCGAGTGTTTCTGCTTCCCCACTCCCCCTCGCGAGAAGAAAAGGCCGGGTACCTCAAGCTCATCCCCCCGTACAGGAAGGAGATCCACAGCCAGCCTGCCAGCAGGAACAGCAGCATCAGAGGGAAGGCGAAAATGAACCAGGAGCCGAAATTCACCACGTCGCACTGTGGGAAGAAACTAGGGGACAGAGGGAGATGAGAACAGAGTCAGGGCAGCCGCTGATGTGGGGAGTGGCGGGGGGCGGGGGGGGGGGGGGGGGGGGGGGGGGGGGGGCGGACCCACAGCAGGGGGTCAAGAAGGGAATGAGAGGGTCCCCCGGGGCCATGGGAACCTCCCTTTGCCCTTTTATTAATAAACCTAGCACGTGCATTTTCCAGCCCCGCTAACAGAAAGCACTCCTTCTCTTCTTTGGGGGCTGCTGGATTCTGACCTAGTGGGACCACAGAGCCTGCAGTCAGACTGTGTGAGTGAAGTGGGCTGGGCTGGACCGTGGGAAACTGAGGCGGGCGCACCCCATTAAAAGGGTCAGCCGCTATTTGCTCCCCCAATGATGCAGGCCCGGTAAGCCCAGATCTGGGTTTTTACTTGAAATTATGTGATATCCAAATTTTGGCAATGTATGTTTTTATGAATGTGGGAGCCAAAGCCCATCTGAGAGCCGCAACGTCCGCTCTACTCATCATGTATCCCCCTAGACCCTAAATGCTGGTCCCAAACACTGCCGATGCCCATGAGTTCTTTTTCTGCTAAACAGTGTCCAGACTCAGTTTCGTTAAGACCCCGTCAAGCCTGAAAGGATTGAGGGCAATAACGCTCAATGCTGGTGAGGATGTGGGAAAACAGGCAGACTCCTGATGCCTGTTCATTGGAATAATCTTTTCTGGAGAGGAATTTTGTAAAATGCATTAAGAGTCTTAAAAGTGTGCATTGCCCCTATACCCAGAAATTCCACTACTAAAAGTATATTTAAAAAAAAAAAAACCCAGAAATGTAGTCAGGAATGAATGTGATAGATATAAAAGGTTAAAAGGAAGTTACACAGTGATGTGTACAAAAGTACAGGAACACAACTTGTTCACAGACATTTCTCAATAAATAAACCAAAATATCATTGGTTTGTTTACATGGCATTTATTATGCAATAATAAATAATATCATCTTTTATTATTGCACAATAAATAAGCAAACAAACAAATGAAAATATTAATAAACTCTATATAGTGGGATTCTGGGAGATTTTTATTCTTTTCTTTTTCTTTATCTGTATTTTTCCACCATCAATAAGTACACATTTGTAATGAGACAAAATAAAAATATTATCTAAAAAATATAAAAATATCAGCAGATATGTGGTCAGTCACATAATTCATAATGGCAACATAATAATAATAATTATAAAATGAAAATGATTTAAATGTCCATGATTAAATAAAATATGACACCCCAAATAGGATAATATAGTCATTAAAAATTATATTTTCTAAAAAATTTCAATGATAAAGTCAGACTATAAAACTATATAAACGGTATGATGACAATAATGTTAAATACATATATTTAATACATGGACATAGAAAAGACTAGAAAAAAATCAGCTAAAATATTAACAATGGATTAAATGTATTTTAAACTTTTAATTTTTTTCTGTGTTTTCCAAGTGTAATCAGAATAAACCAATAAAATGTATTTGGGGAACAAAGGCCAAGGGACTGCTTAGGACAACCATTTCTTCTGTCTCCCAGGCTCCTTTTGGTTCTCAGCTGAAGAACCAAAACCCATATTACTTGGAATTCCTTTTAAATCCCCTCCTTTCATATCAGAGGGTTCAAGTTTATGCCATTCAATGTTGCATATGATTTGCACATAATGTTACTAGAAAGCCTTTGTGTTTGATATATTTACTTACAGTTCCAACGTTTTTTCCCCCTAATTTCTTTACAGGTTGGAACAGTCCTGCTCACATCAGGGTAGGCAGGCAGCCTGAAAACCCACTCACAGCAACTGCCCCTTCCCGTGCTCCCCATTCCCCAACCAGGCACTGCCCCTCACCCCCAGAACCCATGTCTTCCTGTCCAGTCCCCGGGGATGGGCCCCAGCAAACCCTAAGACCAAATGCCCAGCTTTCCCCCCCAGCAGAAAACTAAGAAAACTAAAAGGCCAAGCCTCAATCCTCCCACACCTAAAGCAGGAACAACACCCCTGAATCTCCGTAAATGAGACCAGACTTTTTTCACCTCCCCCAGTGATTCTAACACGCACGCACAGCTGAGAATCACTGGTTTCTATCATCAGATCCTAAAATCAAAGAATTTTAGAATCTAAGACTGTAGTGGCAGTTCATCTGACCCAGGGCTTAAGGTTTTAAAATGAGCACACAAAGCCAAAGATGGGTATACTGAAAATTTCTCGTGAGGGTTATTGATAACTTGGCTCACTCACAAGCATAGTGCTGATGATCGTGTACACACGAACCTCTCCCAGGAAGGCCACCAGAGCCGGCTTTCCCTCATCATCCTTACAGGCTTTGATTCTTTGGCCGAGCACCAGGTAAAGAAGTTGGCCAGCTTTGGAGCCATGCTGAATACTAAATACTTTTTGTTGCCCTTTATTTGTTTGCCAAATGCTTACATTTACATTTATTTATTTATTTTTAATTATTATTATTTTTTTTTTGTAGAGATGAGGTCTGTTTATTTATTTTCAATTAATTTATTTTTTTTTTTTGTAGAGACGAGATCTCGCTATTTTGTCCAGGCTGGTCATGAATTCCTGATATCAAGCGATCCTCCCGCCATGGCCTCCCAAGGTACTGGGATTCCAGGCATGAGCCACTGCACATGGCCTATATTTGCATTTATGTAAATTGAATGAACATATGATGCATTCTGCACCATAAAGGAATCTTAGAGACCTAGCCCTTAGATCCTGGAATCTGAAAATCTGAAGAGACAGAATCTCGAAATACCGAGTATTTAAAATCTTAGAAAGCAGAGGCTTGGAATCATGGAATCGACAAGTCGTGCAGCCATAGAATCCTTCTCTTTCATGCTTACGCCCTGACTGCCAACCACCCCGTCACTGCTGAGCACCGTCAGTGGTGGGGACACCACCTCCCGGCGGAGCTCACTCTGCTTCTCCCAGGACAGGACAGCCACAGACTGCCGCCTCCGGCTCGAGTACAACTCTGCTCTCACCTCTGCAATGAGGCCCCAGCTTACCAGGAGGAAAAGCTGGAGTCCTTCGATGCTGCTTGCTGCTGTAACCTTATCTCCTCTCACCCCCTTTTGCCTGTGCACCCCAGCCTCCCTGGTCTTCTTGCTGTTCCCTAAACCTCCCCGGGAACAGTCGTACCTCAAAGCCTTTGCAGGAGCATTGCCTCTGTCTGGAACATTCTTCCCCCTGTGTCCACATAGCTCCCTCCCTCCCTTCCGGGTCTACGCATGGCACCTGGTTAGAGAGGACGGACTTACCTGAGCGACCCATATAAACTAGCACCCCACTCTCATCTCTTCCACCCTTTCACCCTGCTCTTTAAACTTTCCTGACGTATCGCACAGATATGTGATCCACGCATCTGCTTTTTCACTTACGGCCTGTCCCCCTCGCCAGAATGGAAACACCCTGAGGGCAGGCATTTTGCGGGGTCTCGTGCATCGCTGTGTCACAGGAACCTGGCCCATGGAAGGCCCTCAGGACACATTCCCTGGATGTTGAGTGAATGAGGGAGGAAGGGGACAGGGAGCAGCAGCCCGGGTGCGGCGGGGGCACTTGTTTTTACCTCTTGAGCTGGCCAAGCAGGATGAGGTTGGGGGCCGTGCCCGTGAGGGTGGCCGTGCCCCCAATGCTGGCCGAGTAGGGGATGGAGATGAGGAAGCCCTTCCAGATGTTCCTGCGATATTCCTCCTCTTTCTTGGAGTCAGCCAGCAGGTCCAGCGGAGCCTCCACCTCCTCAGGGTGGCCTTTGCTTAAACAAACCCAAAGAGAAGCCATTCAGAACACAGGGAGAAGCCGCCACACACTGCCCAGGGCTTGGGAGAGCTAAGTGGTTTTTCTGGAAGGCAATTTGGCACAGGTATCAGAAACCTTCAAAAATGTGCCTCCCTTCAGCTCAGATCGTCTACTCTAAGAATTTGCCCCAAAGAAATAGATAAATGCCTCAAGCATACATACAAGGGAGTTCACTGTGGCATTAAATATAATTTAAATTAAAAACAACCTAAATGTTCATCAAAAGGGGATTGATAATAAAGATGATCCTCTTTCTGCAGGGAGCACTAACGCAGCTGTGATGATTAGATGGCGTTTATTAAGATAATAGCTAGCTGCGATACGAACTGAAATGAAAAGGCAGGTAACAGTATTATTTAGTTTTTTCTTTTAGAAATACTCATGAATATACGAGTATTTAAAAAGTCTAGAACGATATATACAAAGTTGCTTTGGTGCCTTTCTTGGGGGTGGAATTACAGATTTTTTTTATTCTTTATTAGTGTTTTCTGGGTTATTTTCCTCGGACAGTTACAGAGATTTGGGAAAGTATAGAATTGAGAATTATTAATTATATAATTAGAAGATCATGATATTGACATAAATTTACTGAAGTGAAAAGACGTCCACTATACTCCATTAAGTGAAATAGCAAGTTACAAAACAGCATATATAGCATTGTCAATTTTTAATTTAAAAAACACATTTATGTCTATACAGAGACATCAAGAAATAGTCTAGAATGATACTCACTGAACTGTTATATTCTACCTCTGGGAGTGAGAGGATGAATACAGTTTTCTTTTTGAGATTTTTTTTTGCATGTGTTAATAGAAAATGTTTATAAGTGAATGAAATTAAGAACTGCCGTGATGCGGTCACTACGTGAGGTGGTGGATACGTTGACTAGCTTGATGGTGGTGATCATTTCACACTGCATACGTATATAAAAACATCACCTTGTGTGCCTTAAATACATACAATTTTTATTTTTCAGTTATAGCTCAATAAAGCCAGGGAAAAAGAAATTAAGATTAAAAACAGAACTGTCCCTACATAACAAATCAAAATTTTTAATTTTTTTAAAAATTTTATTTTTTTTAATGAAAATTTAAAATTTCCGTTTTAAAGAATGAAATATAATTCAAATACATTCTGGCCTTAATTACTACATAGGGACTCCCTCCCCAGAAGCAATGGGGACATGGCCTGGGGTCTGAGTAGCTGGTTTCTAGTGTGACAGGAAGGCAAAGACCAGAGGCGGCTGGAAAGCAGTGTCAGGGGCTGACTTCTCAGGGGTGACAGTCCTGGTCAGACCTGGGGGCCCTGAATGTATTGAGTATCAGCAAGAGAATAAGAGAAGAAAGGGCCCTAGGGTTTGTCTAGTGCAACCTCTTCTTTGTTCAGGTGGGGAAACTGAGGCCCAGAGAGGGGAAGGGGTTTGCACTCAATGAACGTGGACTTCCAGAGGGTGAGGACTAGGTCTTTTCCAGCCAACTCAGCACGAGTTCTGCCTGATGCTTAAAGCATATTCATGAATGCTCATGGTGAGTGGCTGGTCCAATCACAGGACCCACGTCTCAAAGTCGGACTGAAAGCCCCCAGAGAGGGTGCCAGGAAGGAGCATGGGCTGTGGGATAAAACAGACATAAGGTCATGTCCCTCCTCCGCTTAAACTCTCCATTGGCTCCCATCTCATTCAAGGTCAAGGCTGCATCGATGGCCCAGGAGGGCCCACAAGCAGTCTCTCGGGCCCCATCTCCTACCATCTGCTCACTCACTCACTCAGCTCCAGCCTCACTGGCTTCCTGGCTGCTCTTTGACCTCGCAGGAGCTTGGCACACGCTGATGCTTCTGCTGAGAACACTCTCCCCACAGATACCCCTGGGACCCCGCGCCTCCTGCAGGGGTTTGCTCCAACACGACCTTCCTGGTAGGGCCTTCCCTGGCCGCCCCCCAGCCTGCCTCCCTCGCCCTCTTTCCTGCGGTATTCTCCTTCATAGACTCACCAACCGTCCCATACGCTGCGAATTTTATTCACGTATCTGTTTCTTGCCACTAGAATGTAAGCTCCGTAAAGGCTGGCATTTTCGTCTGTTCCTTGCTATATCCCTGGGCCAGTGTCTGGCTCATCGTAAGCTCTCAGTAAATACCTGTTCCATGAGTCAAATAGACCTGATACCCAGCACTGCCCTGAGCAAATCGCTCTCCTTCCTGCTATTTCATCACCATTAAGTCAAAATGACAATGCCTAATAGCAGGTGCCGTCATCTGTACATGCAAGGCCCGGCCAACGTGCTCGTCAACATTCTCTCAGTTACTCTCAAGCAACCCCATAAGGCGGCTTCCAATATCATGTCTAGTTGGTAGGTGAAGACCAACTGAGGCTCAGAGAGGTTAAATGACTTGTCCCAGTCACGCAGCCAGTAAGTGGCAGAACCAGAGTTCCAAGTCAAGGCTGCGTGACTCCAAACCGCACGATCTTAACCACGCTTCCATAGCGCAAAGGATACTGAAGGCTAAATGTGACATCGATGCGAAGATGCTTTCCGAACCATGTCAGTGTGAAGGGCTGCTATTGGTTCATAGACTTTGTTTTGTTTTAGAGCCTCTGGACCCTGCTTCCTCCCCCTCCTCCTCGACCACCGTGTCGTTCTGGCTCTCCATGCTTCTGGGCCCCTCCTTTCAGCAGGAAAGCTCCTACGACCCTCGACCTCACCAGACTTTTAGGGATTTGATGTGCTTCCCTACCGTTTTCACATTGGCATTTTTTAAAAGGAGCTCTTGAGGTCCATGTTTAAGCCATGGGGGTGGAAACTCGGGCATTAGGTCATTTGGAGAAAACTTTGGGGATGGGAGGGGAATTGCGGGCAGCATTGAATTCTTGTTCGTCATCTTGAATCAAGCACCGGCCCTTCTATGAAATTCACCAGGAACTTACTCTTCTGAACTGGCGAGAAATTGCATCTCCGTGGGCACGGTGTGTAGGCCGTTTCTCCGCACCGCAGCTAGGAGGAAAGAGCATGATGTCTTTAGTGTAACATGGCGAATGGGGCAGGAGTATCGCAATTTCTGTGTAGTCAGTCACGACTGTTTCTTCATTGCCAAGGATCCTGTACTATTCATTGAATCAAAAGAAAAAGAAAGAGAGAGAGAGAGAGAGAGAGAGAGAGAGAGAGAGAAGGCACTCAACATTCCATCGTCCCGTCCCACCACCCATATTTGGAGATGGCCCCAGGCCCATGGGCAGGGAATTAGCTGCAAGGCTGCTTGACAACCCATAACTCAGGCCTAGGTTTACCTGAGTAGCCACTGCCAAAGAGATATTTGGGAAAGACCAGCTATCAGTGGTAATGGGTCAGCAGTGGCTCAGGTGGCTCCATAGTCCATTCATCCAAAAAGTATTTATTGAGCACCTACTATGTGCTGTTGACTATGAGCTCAGCATACTCAGTGAATAATATAGAACGAGGTCCCTGGCTCCCATGGAGATCATATATTCTAGAAAGAGAGACAGGCAATAAATGAATAAAGACAATCTCAGATAGTGATGAATGTATGGAGGAAATAAAATTGGGCAATGTGATGGAAAGTGACTGGAAAACGGGGAGGGGAACAGGTGGACCACTGTGGTCAGGTCGACAGAGAAGACACTGTGTGCCATGGCATTTGATCGGACATCTCAAGGATGAGAAGGAGCCAGTCACATGAAGAGCCAATGGGAAGAGGGTTCCAGGAAATAGGAACAGCAAGTGCAAAGGCCCTGTGGTAGGGAGAAGCTTGGCAGAGTTGAGGAAGCAAGGAAGTCCAGTGTGCTGGGAAAGTAGTGAGTAGGGAAGGCCAAGGGGAGATGGCGGATGGGGACGGGGTGGGTGAAGGTTAACAAGAGCCATGTCAGGGATGGGGATCCACTGCAGGATCTAGCCCAAGAGGGGTGATATGATTTACATTTTGCAAACATCCCTGGGCTTGGACGGAGAGAAAGGGCTGCAGAGGCTGAGATGGCAGAAATGGAAACCAGGAGCCCAGCTCAGGATCTATTGCACTTTCCAGGTAAGATGATGGTGGCCAGACCAGGCTGGTGACCATGGATGACAGTGAGTAAGTTGTAGAAGTGTTTCAGTTCTTCTTTTGAGATAAGAGCTCAGTGTAACTTGGAACCCAGGGCCAGAACTCAGGCACATGAACCCTGGCCCATCAATCCATCAATGAACTCCCGTGGAGCGCCTCTTGTGCGCCGGGCACTGAGTGACAAAAGTTGCAAGTCCATGTCCTCACGGAGCTGATCTTGTGGTGGGGGAGACACACTGTAGATGGTTAAGTACGATACACAGTGTGTCAGATGAAAGTGAGTGTCATGGAGAAAAATAAAAACAGGTGTTTGCGGGTGAGACACTTTTTCAAGGCTCAGGGGTAGTCTGACGTTGACCAGAGACCTGAAGAAGGTAAGAGGTGAGCCATGCAAATATCTGGAGCAAGGAAGAGCATGTGCAAAGGCCCTGGGGTGGCAGTGTGCCTAGTGTGTTGGGGAGCAGAGGGGAGACCAGGGAGCCTGGAGGGGTCTGAAGGAGGAGATGAGAGAGAGGAAGCAAAGTGAGAGGAGCGCAGGGGGTGGGGGTGGCAAGAAGGGGGCTGGTTATGCAGGGGTCACCGAGCTCACAGTAAGGACTTTGGCTTCTCCTCTGAGACAGACAGAAGCCAGGGTACTATCTGAGCAGAAGAGGGTCAGGAAAGGATCTGACTTCATCTTTAAAGTATCTTTTGCTTGATAGACCAGACTCACAAGGAGCCTTTGACAGTGTTTTGGAGACCAAAAATAAATAAATAAAAGAATGAATTAAAAGTTCCTGCAGCTGGAACCACCGTCAGTGGCAAAATAACCCACCCCTGGGAGTTGGGTCTGTGGCTGGTGGCTAATCACGTGAGCCCTGGGTTCAAATCATAGCTCCATCACTTACTATGTGACCTTAGGTCAGTGGTTCCCAACGGGAGCCAATTCTTCTTCCAAGGGATGTTGGGCAATGTCTGGAGGCAGTTTTGGTTGTCACAACTGGGGCTGGGGGTGGTGCTGCTACTGGTATCTATTAGTTAGAGGCCAGAAGTGCTGCTAAACATCCTCCAATACACAGGCCAGTGCACTCCGACCAAGAATTATCACACCCAAATAGCAGTAAGGCTGAAGTCGAGGAGCCCTGGTTTACAGATACCCCATAATATCCCTGTACCTCAGTTCTTTAACTTACAAAATGGAAGTAACAATTCTCCTAGAGTTGTCAAGAGGATTAGAGAGTCAACCCATTTAAAGCAGAGACCAGCAAACTTCTGTAAAAAGCCAGAGAGTAAATATTTTAGGCTTTGGGGACCATACTGTCCCTGTTGTGACAACTCTTCTCTGCCACGGTAGCAGGAAAGCAGCCATAGCCAATAAATACATAAGTGACTGCGTGTGGCTAAATCTTTACATAGGGACACTGAAATTTAAATTTCATACAATTTTCACATCACAAAATATTCTTCTTCTTTTGATTTATTTCAACTATTTAAAAATATAAAAAACTATTCTTAGCTCACAGGCTGCACAAAAAGCAGGTGTGGTGGCTCATGCCTGTCATCCCAACACCTTGGGAGGCTGAAGTGGGAGGATCACTGGAGCCCAGGAGTTTGAGACTAACCTGAAAAACATAGCAAGACCCTGTCTCTACAAAAAATAGAAAAATTGGCTAGGCATGGGGGTGCGTGCCTGTAGTCCCAGCTACTGGGGAGGCTGAGGCAGGAGGATCGCTTGAGTCCAGGAATTTGAGGTTGCAGTGAGCTATGATGACGTTACTGCACTCTAGCCTGGGCAACAGAGCTAACCCTGTCTGCCACCACCCACCCACCCCCCAAAAAAAAGTAGAAAGAAAGAAAAAAACAGACGGCAGGCTGGATTTGGTAGGCCATGGTTTGCCATTCCTGATATAAAGAATTTAATAGGAAGCTAAGTAGGAGCAAGGATTCAATAAATGCAGGTTACTCTTGAGAAAGAATAAAACGGCAGCCCCGGACACCAGGGACTGGTCTGAGACCTAGAACTAGGCCATGTTATTCATCTGGACATCAACAATCTAACAGAACACTGACCCAAATTCACTCTGAGACTATGACAAAATGAGACAAAGCCTGTCCATTTCATAATCTTGTCTAAGGGCAAGGTCACTGTGCTGTCCACAAACTTGCTAAATGAGCAACTACTACTTTACCCAGTCATAGAATCGCCTCTGGTTTCTGACGGTACCCGGCCTCAAGCCCAGTCCTCTCATGGGTTCTTTTTAGCACCCCGCTGCTGAGATGCACATGGTAGCTCATGGCGCATGCGCCTCTCACTGCTGCAAGAATAATAGATCAGCTTGTTTAACTACAGTGTGTTGGTTGATGGCCACTGATGCTCTTAAAGGAACTCCAGCAGGAAAAGAATACCTTGATTTTTTCTTTTTACTTGGGCTTTTCCTTTACATGGAAATCAGTCCACATTTCAGCCTTGTGGACAGCGAGCTGAGGACTGGAGTCCAGCCTTGGCTCCCTCCTTGTCTGGCCCGGTGACCTGGGGAAGCCCGTTCCCCACCCGGCAGCTTCCTCTCTGTTGGTACCATCAGGGAGCAGGATTCCAGGGTGGCTAACTGTGTCATCTCTACTGTGCCCGAGAGTGGCCCTGCTGATCACCAGCAGGGATCCAAGGCTGAAAGTCAGGTCAGCTCACCCTGGCCGTGAGGACAAGGGTCTTGGGGCTTGCATGCTGGAACACATGTCCACAAGCAACGCACGAGGCTGGGGCCCAGGGCGCTGAAGCAGGGATCGAAGGGCTGTTAATAGCACACTAGGGTGGGGGGAAAGTTACTCTGCAGGGGACGGCCAGGCAGAAAGAACTCTGATCCGGTGACACCCAACCCCACCATCTAGCTCGTTCTGGGCTCTTCCCACCTGGGCCGGGACCACAGCTGTCGTGCAGCACCACACGTCCACGAGCGTGCCAGCATCTCAGGCACGATCCACCGCCGTCCTCCTCAGCCTGGCTGGACGTTAGAATTCCCTGGTCCCACCCCAGAGGGTCTGGTTCAGGGGTTCTGGAGTGGGGCTGGGGTCTCAGTATTTTTAAAAAGTTTTGCAGGTGATTCCTTTATGCAGCCAGGGTTGAGGGCAATTCGTCTGACGTCGCAGATGGGGAAACAGAAGGCTCCAGGGGCTGCCTACGCCCTTGGAGGGGAGGGCATGTGCTTGCCAGTTTGCCACAGTCCCCACAGGACCCCCGTCACTCATTCGTGGAACCTGGACACTCACTGCCAGCATCCGAGTTGGGCAGCCCCGATGTAAGGCTGTACGTGCTATTAATACACGGTGGAGGGTGTCTGTACACACAGAGCTGTAAATGGTAATTAGCTTTAGCTAATTAGGGAGGGAGGGAGGGAGCTTCACTTTTTCCTTATGCAGATTAGGAATGTCAAAACATTTTATACTGGGCATTATTTTTCTAATAACAATGATAATGGTGATTAAGTCGATGATGATGAGATTTTTAAAAAATAGGAAAGCCAAGGTGTTGAGCGCTCTTAACCATTTACCCAGGATCCAACCCTGTGCTTCCTGGGACCACAGTGGCCCAAGAAACCACGTGGAAAAGGCCGCTGGAGCAAAGTCTTCAGAGAGACTTCTCTGGGTCCAGAAATCACCGGTCAGTTAGGAGCTTGGTGCTTAGGTAAGGTTTTATTCAAATAATGCCCATCCTTCCGTTTGTGTCAGGAGTGAGGACAGAGAATTCTCACGTTTGAAATCTTATGGCAGCCCTGGAGAGCTAGGCGAGGTTTATTACCTTCCTCTTACACCTGGGGAAACTGAGGCCTGCAGAGGCCGGTTAAGGTTGGGACCCAGGAGATCCAGTGGGTCAGTGGCAGAGTCAGGCTTGTACCCGGGACTAGTAAACCCCACCCCTTTCATCGCACCCCATCTCCAACACCCCCCTCCGCCCCCGGTACTTGGCAGGCCTGACGTGGAACTGATCACTAATCGAGCCTCCCTAGCGTGACTGAAATGTTCTTGAAGTGACTGAAATGTTCTTGAAGTTCGGCCTGGAGAAGGCCAAGGAGGAGCTCTTGTGTCAAGTTAGATGAAGAGCACCCCAGGGAAGGTCAAAAGCCCCAAAGTGAGGCAGGTTTACGTCCACGAATTCATTTAGCACTCACGACAGCCCAAGCAGTAAGGATTATCATCCCCATTTTAGGTGTAAGGAAACTGAGGCTCAGAGCAGTTCATTAGATGGTCCATCCGTTCATTTATTCATTAGTTTCACACACTGATTGATCACCTACTATGCGCCGAGCAGTGTCCTAGGCGAACAAGACCGCACCAGTGACGATTGTTCACAGCAGTAAGCAAGCCTGACACACCCCTCACGCAGCTTGCAGTCTGCGGAGGAGACAGACCACAAATAGACAGTGACATCCCTCCCGGGCAGGAGTAGGAACGTCAGTGGGCGTCAGAGTGGAGGGTCTTACTGCCTGCTCCTCCGATCCCCGGAGATCTTACAGTAGTTTGTATACAACTGCCACACGTGAACCACTTCCTAGGGACCTGGCTCTCATTTCTAACATGTCACAACAGCATACACAAAATGGGAGGTTTTGTCCTTATTTTATAGATGGGAAAAGTCTCAGGAGGTGGATCAGCATCAGTGAATGGAGACTGAAGGGGGGGTGATGCTCCAGCTGACCTGAGAAGCCACTGCTTTGTGAAGGGTGCTATCTTGGGCACTCCCAGGGAAAGACGTGAATGGCCAGCTCGTCTACTTTGGGCAGAGAAAAGAAGGGGAAAGAGTTTAGATTCAAAAGCCAGGTGGGTCCCTTACTGGCCGAGGGACATTGGGCAAATCACCACTTTGAGCATCAGTTTTCTCCTCTGTAAAATGGGGATGCTAACAGAGCGTCCCCTGCAGGGCTGAGAGTGTGCATGCAGGAGGACACTGAGGAAGCTGCCACTAGCATGGCCCCAGGGTCCCCCAGGCAGTGCAGGGCACAGAACTGGGTTGAGGAACTGGGCAGCGAGGACCCCTGGGGTCTTGTCCTGTGAGCCCCACCCTGTCCCAGGTCCTGGCCCCTTGGTACCAGGCCCCACAGCACAGTGCTCATAGGCATAGGTTCTAGAGTCAAACAGAGCTCAGCGACTAACTCATCATTTTACTTTGGTCAAATCATTTTGCCTCCCTGAGCCTCAGTTTCCTCATCTGTAAAATGGGGGTCACTACTTCCTAGTGCAGTCATGAAGATTAAATGAGCTAATGGGTATGAAAAATTTAGCACAGGGTCTGACATAGGGTGGTTCTTCAGAAAATGAGAGCTTGCATTGTCATCGTTGTTGCTGCTATAGATGTCCCACATGAACGTAAGGCTCCTAGGAGCCTCCTTGTCCCTCTCCTGGTCACTAACAGAATTTCCACTTCTCCCCCTGTCCTCCCCTCCTAACTCCTGGTCAAAACAGAAACTGGGTAAAAGGGAGTATTTCTATTTGCGCTGGAATTAGCCTTGTTTTAGCTCTTAGAGGCTGATCATTAACCGATTCCTGCTCTCTGATCCCACGGCCTGTGGAAGTAGGTGCCTGCCCCGGCCCCCCAGGGTCTCCTGCCTCCTGACGTCCCACACCAAAGGGGAAAGGATTCTGGATTTCACTGCATGACCACTGCATGTGACCTTGGGCAAGTCCCTTCCCCTTCCTGGGTCTCAGATTTTTTATCCTTATAAGGAGGGACTTGGCTTTCAAACATTTGCTTGGCCGCTTTGGAAAAAAATCTCACGTGGGAGAAAGAGTACAGGCTCTGAAGTCAGCCAGCCTGGATTCAAAACACCAGAGACACTGCTCTGAAACTGGGCCTCACTCACAGCCTCTCTTCCCTTCCGTGTGGAAGCATTTGCCCTCGCAGAGACCTGGCTGTGCTGTACTACCAGTGGTGCAATTCTGGACGTATAATTCCACCTCTCTGAACCTCATCGATATAGTACTTATTATCATTTCCAGCTTTCAGGCTGTCGTGGAAATAAAATAAGCAGGACCCCTTAGTACATGATGGGGAAATACTCATAGCAGTGTCAGTAAGTGAGACTAACTTAGATGGTACACGGATCAACCTTTAAATTCAACAGCTACATATTTCTTTTAATTGCGTACTTGAAAAATATAAGTAGCACACAAAACTCATGGTCCCATGGATAATGCTTCTTGTGGTAGTTGGGATAAATGATCCAAAGCTACTGGGACAGATCTGCCATCTATCTCTCAAGATGTGGCTTCCCTCTTTGAGTCTCAGGTGACATCTCTTGCTGCCACCATCAAATTCACACTCCACCCAGCAGGAAGCAGAGAGCAGGAAGGGCAGAAGCCACAAGTTGCACACATCATTCCCACTTGTGTCCCATTGGCCAGACTTAGTCACCTGACCACATCTGGTCGCAAGGGAAGCTGGGAAATTCAGCCTTTCCTCTGCACAGCCATGCGCCCGTGTGGGGTTCCATTACTAAAAGAACAAAGGAAGACTGGATGCTGGTGTTAAACTAGCAACTTCTGCCCACATATGTATCGACTTAAAGCTTCCTTTTAAGATATATTTCTGTAAATAAAAAATAAGACATTTTAAAGTGGATGTGGCAGCCACTTTGCAACTACGAGAGAAAGACCAGGGGAATAAGGAGTTGCCAATGAAAAGCCCTGACGTCGCTGTGCCTCTGAACTGACCCAGGAACTGCCTTTCTCTGACTCTGCTGTGTGATGTGGGAAAGTCACTTCCCCTCTCTGAGGCTTTACATAGTCATCTAGTTAAGAACACAGTTTCAGGGGGTCGAGGGTCTCAGATCCCTCAGTTCACGGCACGTTATCACTATGTGTTGCACAAGGACCCTCTTCTATTTGATTGATTGATTTTTTTCTAGTCCCTTCCATCCCCATTTCCCACTCCCACCCTTCCCATAGCGACCACTCTGATGTGTTCCATGTGTAGCTTTTCATTTGTTGATGTTCTCACAAAATGTTTCGCTACTCAGTTTGCATATTGGGATTGTGCTCTGTATCCCATTCTGGTTTTCTTTCCCCCAATCATAACCGTTTTGTGAGATCCATTTCTATAACCATATGGTTCACTAATTCTTCTCTCTTGAAAGCAGCACAGTGCTCAGTGGTGTGCACCCACCACATTTGCCTGTGCCTGTGCTAGTGATGAAGCCCACGTGGCCACCAACTCCCCACGGCACAGGGAAAGCGGCAGGGAATAATGCCATGTGTGTCCCCTCCCGGGCCTGTGTGAGAATCCCTTCAGCATTTGCATCCAGGAGCAGAACCACTGGGTTGCAGGGTATATACACATTTAATTTGATTAAATTCTTGCAGAATGCTCTTAAGAAAGGCTGACCCGGTACACCCTCTTTCTAGCAGCGCACAAGAGTTCCCACGGCCCCAGTCCTGCCAACATGGGCATTGCCCAGCTTTCTTATTTTTGCCCGTCTCATTGATTTAAACCTCATGGTTTACATTTGCATTTCTCTGAGCATTCTCTGACCCTGAGTGAAGCTGAGCGCCTCTTCAAATGCTTTAAAACAAGATTTAATTATAGTACCTACTTCACAGGGCCATTGTGAGAGTTAAGTGTTTACCTCATTGCTCAGTAGGTTAGTAAGCACTCAGTGCTCAATAGATGCAATTTTTAAAATTTATTTAATTAATTTATTTTTTTTTACAAGACAGAGTCTCACTCTGTTGCCCAGGCTGGAATCCAGTGGCATGATCATAGCTCACTGCAGCCTTCACTCCTGAGTTCGAATGCTCCTCCTGCCTCAGCCTGCCAAGTAACTAGGACTACAGGGGCACACCACCAAGCCCAGCTAATTTTTAAAAAATGTTTTGTAGAGATGGGGTCTCACTATGTTGCCCAGGCTGGTCTCAAACTCCTGGTCTCAAGCGATCCTCCCACCTTAGGCTCCCAAAGTGCTGGTATTATAGGCGTGAGCCACTGTGCCCAGCAATAAATGTAAATTTTTTAAAACCAAGGTACCATGATTTGAGTTATCTAATTCTCAGTTACTATTATTATATTATTAAAACACGTGGCATGTGGTAGGTGCTCAATAAGTGTGCATGCTCTTGGCCTGCCTGACATCCTCTGGGCATCTCTGCTTCCACTCCCCCACACTGGTGGAGTCAGCCCCAGTCCCTTTGCACAGCCTCACCTGTGTTCTCTTCACTCTCCTGGTCCTTTCCAATCTCCTGCTGGCCAAAGAGACTCTTCAGGATGGCATTGGCTATGGGCAGCATCATGGCGGTGGAGGCGGTATTGCTCAGCCACATGGACAGGAACGAGGTGGTCACCATAATCCCCAGGATGAGCCTGGGGAACAGAGGGAGTTAGAGGCAGATCCAGAACTCAGGGCCCCGGAGCTCCTCTGGTCCCAGTTTGCCATCCCTGAGGAATCCAACCCATCCATTTCACAGGTGGAAAGTTGCGGCTCAAAGAGGGCAACTCAGTGGCAAAGCAGGGACCAAATCCGCTCACCAAGTTATTTTAGATCTAAGAAAACTGTGGCTCAATACATTCGGGTAAACCGACCACAGGTCCCCAAGGTTCTAAAGACATCCCAGGCGTGACATTTTCTTCCCCTTACCCCCAGACCCTGATGGCACCCATCTCGGAATAACGTTGCCCAGGCACCAACACGCTCCACCATCTTGCCCTAATGGCCTTCCCAGACTCCCCCCACCCCCTCTCCCCTCCTATCCCACCAGCCACCCACAGCTCAGACTCTACTGAACTTCTCGCCAGCACCCGATGCACCTGAAGTCTCCTGCCCCGCTGCCTCTGCTTGGTCCGTTCCCACCGACAGAATCTAAGTTTCATGACTCTTTCCCTTCATGTTGGACTCCTAATCCACCTGGAATTTATTTAGATGTGTCGTATGAAGTGAGAGGTAAATAGATTTTTTTTTCCTGGAATGAACTAATCGTCCCAACTCCCACCATTTATTAAATAATCCTTCCCTTCCCCGCTGATGTGGACTTCTTCTCGGTTATTTATTCTGTGTTTGTAAATCTGCTTCTGAGCTAGCATCTTACCACTTTCATTGTTGTAACTTTATGTTTGGGAACGGCCCCGCCCATTCTTGAAAGTGGATCTCACATGGAACCTCCTCCCAGAAGTCTCCCCCTTCCTTTACCTCTCACGTGGCTCCCACACCGTGACGTGCCCCCTGGGGATCAAATTCCTCTTGGCGCTGGACTCGGTTTCATAGATGGGACCTGTCCCATAGGTCCTCCTGACAGCTCCTCCATGAGGAAACACAACTACAGAGCCCAGCAGAGTGCTTGGCACAGAGTAGATGCTGGAACCTTCTTCTCCTACCCCCTCCCCCACATCAATTTTATCACCCAAAGAGCTCTCAAATCTAGCCATTCTGTTCATCTCCACCGCCACCCCCTAGTCCAAGCTACCATCGTCTCCTGTCAGGACACCCGAAGCAGCCTCCTAACTGGGCTGTGCCAGCTTCTCACGCCTGTCCCGCCCCTCTGGTCTCTGCAAGGCAGCCAAGAGGGATCTCTGACAAATGCACATCCGGCCATGTCACTCTCCAGCTCAGAATCTTTTACAGCAGAGATTTATAAAAAGTAGGTCCATGGACATAGTTCAGGACTGAATTGGGGAAAAAACTTTACATCTTCATTTTGCTAACATCTAACAAAAATTGAGTATTTCCTTCAGTGATAAACAGGCAACAAAGTTCAGTCGTATGAGCAGCGCCTGAGACATTTTCCTATCACGTTATGATAGTTGCAGATGTCTGGAAATAGCATCAACACTCAAAACTGCCACAAAATTATGGTTGTGATCAGGCCCGTCCCTAGGTCTTGTCATTTGTTGTGTCCATAAAGGAACACAAAGCATGCTGGAGCAAAAATGTGTGTGTTTTTTTAAAAAAAAATTACTTGGATAATTGCATTTTGCTGTAGTTGCTCTCGTTTCAAATCCTATGTGTTGTGCTTTATGGATTTAAACACATTATTATTCTGGGCAGATCCTTAAGATTCACCAAATTGCCAAAGGGGTTCATGGAAGGAAAAAAAAAAGATTGAAACCACTCCCCCATTTTCAAGGCCACCCAGTCCTCTGCACTCACTCGTGGAGTCCTCACCGCAACTCTGCGGAGCAGGCGCTGCGGCATCACCATGTCACAGGCAGAGAGAGGCGAGTCATTTCCCAGAGCAGCCTTTCGACCCTCTTCCCAGGCGATTCTCATGCACCTTTGAGAGCAACTGCCCACGGGCCTAGCACTGCGCCTGGCGCACAGAGGCTGCTCGCTATATAGGTGAGGGATGAATAAGTACATGGAGGGGGGGAAATGCCGAGTTTCTTGGGCCAGTTGGCTAAACCAAAGAGAACGGGTTTGGGCTCCGGGGCTGTGGTCCCTCTGCCTCCCACTGCAGGGCTGGACCCGTTCCCTGGCCTTACCTGGCCGGCTGCACCCCAATGAGCATCAGGATCTTGAGGGCGATTCTGCGGTGCAGGTTCCACTCCTCGATGGCGCTGGCCATGATCAGACCGCTGAGGAAGAGGAAGTTGGTGTCGAGGAAGTACTGGGGGCAGACCTTGCTGGAGGGCAGGATGCCCATGAAGGGGAAGAGGACGATGGGCAGCAGGGCCGTCACCGAGATGGGCAGGGCCTCCGTGCACCAGTACACCGCCATGAGCAGGATGACAAACAGGCAGCGGCCTTCCTGCAGGGGAGAGGCGGACTCAGGCGGCCGAGCTTGGGGGCACAGGGGCAGGGCCTGTCAAGCCTGTTCTCGGGGAGGCAGTGGAGCAGGTAAGTGCCCAAGGCTTTGACCCTGAGCAGGTGGCGTCACCTTTCTGAGCCTCATTTTGCTCAATGATAAAATGGGAAAGCTATTTCTGTCCACATGCTAGGACTGTGTGAAGATTAAATGAAATACTCTGTTGTCTTAGAAAGTAAACCCTGAGATAGGATGAGAATGAAAGTAGTTTACCTGATAGGGAATTCCAGGAAGTTCTGGAAGGACAGTGGGGAAGCGGCACAGAGGAGGAAGCCAGTAGCGTGGGTCCATGAGAAGGTCACCACTGTGGGCCACCGGAGCTCAATTCTGATGGGGACCCCTGGAGGCAGCGTAGGACATGCCTCGGAGTTGTCTCAACTGGGAGCCCAGGAAGCTGGGGCATTTGTCTGCCAACTTCTGACCATCTTTGGTTGATGGCTGCTCCTGGGAGCATTAATTCCCAACGCTTCCTCCCCCACCTCCCCACGTGCAGGCTGAACACGCTCCTGCAGCCAGAGAAAACACTCCCGCACACATCTCAGACGCGGCAGAAAGCTATTGGCATGTGCAGGAACAGCGAGCACTGTTGGGTCTGCTGTGATGTGTAAGGCAAAGAGAGAACCCCACAGCAATTCCAAGGCCGTTGGCCTCAACAGTGGAAAGACAGGGTTGTCATTTACTAAGATAGGGAAGACGGTGAGATACGCTCACATCAATTTCCATACCTTGAAAAACACATCCCAAGACTCTGCTTAACATGCCTTACATTGGAGAATTTCCAGATCCCCAAGTTCCTTAGCTTTTGTATCAGTGCTCACGTGCATGCATGAAATTTACAGATGCACAAAAAGTCTCCTGCAGAGAGAATTCCTGTACAGCAAGTCTTATTTTCCTATTGGCTTAAATATATCTTTCTGGAAGAAAAATAAATAGGTCCCCAGACTAAATACAGAGTTTTCCTTAAGAATATCTAAAAATTAGTTGTTGGAGGCAGGAAAGAACAATTACAAAACAAATTAACTCAACTTGGAATAAATATTCCAAGAACCCACGTTATTGGACACACACGTTAAAGGTTGAGTGCAAAAGCGATAATACAGAATTAAATCCCACGAGCAAAATTCTTAAGTTTTGACTTTTCATCATCCTTTCAGTTTCTTAAACCAGGCAGATCCCTACATATCAGGGGTGAGATATCTTAGAGAATCACAGAGACCAGAGTCTATAAATATTCATAACCCCCAGCCCTTTGTTCAAGCAAAATTGTATATTGAATCACAATATTTAAAACAGAAGAAATCTTAAATGTAAATATCAGATAAAAAGGAGCTTTTCTGGGAGAAGGGGGATGAGGAGCTCTCTACAGAGCTTCTCTGTTCTCTCCCTCCCTTCTGCCCACCCTGGCCCCCAAGACCGCCCCAATTCGGAATTCAGTGGCGAATGGTCAGATCGTCACCAATTCCTTAGCATTTCCCTGGCTCTTCAGACGTGGAGACTCGGAGCAGAGGGGGGAAAGGGTGAGACAGCAGGTAGATGTCAGAGCTGTTTCTAGAGCCCCCAAAGCGCCCCAGGCAGCTGAGACCCCACAGCAGGCTATTTGTGGAAAAGACTCTCTTAGCCTCAACCGGAACTTGAAGCCAAAGGATGTCATCCCAGGGTTCCGCAGAGGCAAGTAGAGGCCAGCTCCATGCCAGGTATTTCTAGTACAGCAAACAAAGATGTAGCAAAATAGCAGCACAATAAACAACACCCTGTTTACAAAACCCCAACGTTCTGCCTGCAGAGCTCCGGGAACCACTTGGGAAGTCAGTGTATCCAAAGCTTCAGACGTGGCCAACGCCAACTCGACCTTCTTAGGGCTAGGAAACCGTGACTCTGCAGAGGGTCCTAAAAGTCAGCTGGAGACAATCAGTGCTCATTGCTCAGAGAGGTGAAGTGGCTTTCCTGAAGACACACAGCATTGAGAGATGGAGCCCTCTCTCCTCCTGGGTCTTGGCTCCTGGTATGGAAGAGGGCTGACGCCCTGTCTCCATGCCCCCACCCTCTTCATTTTTCTTCATGTCGCTGCTCACCCTGAAAGCAGATTCTGTAGCTCTATTGGTTTTCCCCTCTATAGAATGCAAGCTCTAGGATGGCAGGAATTGTGTTCCCAGTGCTAAGAACAGTACCCGGCACGTAACAGGCACTCAAAACATTTGTTGAATGACTAATGCATGCTTCTACAACTCAGAGAAAATGCTTCTCTGCCCTTCAAGTTTCTGTCACTCACAGCTCAGACTCCTGACTAATACACTCACCTTCTCCATCTTTCTAATAATAACACCTGACATTTTAATAGAATATATTGTGCATGATCTCTTTATTATTATAAAATTCAAAATGCGTACTACATGCTGGAGACTGTTCTAAATATCTTGCTTCTATTTGTTCATTAAACAACCGTATGAAGGGAAGGTTACTATTATTTTCATTTCCATTTCACAGATGAGAGAAATGAGGCACAGCGAGGTTAAGTAATTTACCCAAAGCCACACAGCTAGGAAGTGGTGGATGTGAGGCTCAAACTTAAGCAGTCTGATTCTAGATTATGTGCTCTTATCAATTATGTCCTATTGATTGCCTTACATAGAATGTCATGATATGTCAACCGGAGGAAGGGGGTGAAAGGAGAAAGGAAGGGAGGAAGGGAAAGATGGAGGGAAAGAGAACAGCTGATTGTTTCCCAGTATTTGTTAGTGTGAACATACAAGATGAATCTATGTATTTTTTAATAGAAAGATCACAGAGGTTAGCTTTGTCTTTAGAATCTTCATTTGTTACTTTCAAATGAATCAGCCAAGATAAGACATATATATTTTATCAAGTTGTATCTTGGTGTGGTTCTGAAATAAAAGAAGCTGTGACTCCTACCCAGAAAAGTACATTAAGTACATTCTACACCGACCGACAGAATAACTGGCAGCTGAGTCAGCTGCTAGAGGCTGAGCCAGGAGGTCTTAAGAAATGCCTGCGTCAGACTTCCTGGTACAGCATCCCAGGTCTCGTGATATAAGTTTTTCCAAGAACTGTTCTCCCTACCACTCCCCTAAAAATTCACAATTGGCACATTGAAGCCTCTGACAAATCATATAGTAAACACATTTGTCTTTATTTAACCCAAAGTTTCCAAAATACATTTGACCACCGATGGAAATATCCCTTAAAATCCTACACACCTTGTGTTCCGTGGAAAATATCTTGGAAACACTGCCAAATTGTAACCCGCAAAGACTCATCCATTCAAAATGATCTGCTTACTCTCTGTCTCCCTGCCTAGGGGCCCTGTTTGTCTCGTCTCGTTCACTTCTGTGTCCCCAGCACCCAACACAACGCCCAGCACATTGTAGGGGCCCAGCATCAGTGAGCGTGGAACGAGGGGATGAGTACGTGGCCTGTGACCCTTACTCTTTGCTGGACATGCTGGGGGGCCGGATATAGAGATGAGCGAGTGGAGGAGCTCGGAGCCTGGGGGTAGCAAGGTGGGTGCAGACTCGGGTAACTGCAGCGCGGAGCAGCATGTCCAATGGCAGGTGTGGCTCTGAGTAAGTTAGGGACGCCTGGGGAGAGGAACTAACTTAGCTCAGAGGACAAAGGGGAGTAGCAGGGAAAACACTACTTAAACCAAATCTTAGGGAATGAAAACTTTTGCAGGGGCCTAAGGGCAAAGTCTCCCATTGTCCAGCAGCCATTTGGCCATTTATCTGCCTATTGTACTTTTAAATCTGAGGGCAAATTTCTGCAGCAGTAGGAGACTTACAAATTTGCTTCTCTAACTCTACAGGAAATGCTCCACGTGTGTGTGTGTGTGTGTGTGTGTGTGTGTGTGTGTGTGCGTGTGTGTGTGTGTGTGTGTGTGTGAGAGAGAGAGAGAGATTCATGAATATCACCAAAGTTACAAATTTAAGAAGCTAATATAGTCTCCCTGCTAGTAACACTCTAAAGTTCAGAACTTAATAGATGACAAGAAGGAAAAGAAAGGGCATGACTCCAGATCTTACAGTATCAAAGGGATAATAAAGAGATAGTTTGAACAACTTTATACCAATAACTTTGATAACTCCGGGAAAACAGAGAAACTTCTTGAAAAACATACCTTACTCAACTACCAGAAAGAGAGATGGAAAACCTAAATATTTTAGCATCTATTAAAGAAACAGAATCAATCATTAAAAACGGTCCCACAAAAAGTCTCCAAGCCCTGCTGGCTTCAACAGTAATCCCGCCCAACGTGGAAAGCATAAATAATATCATCTTACTCAAGCTCTTTCAGAGAAGAGAGAGAAAGTGAACACTTCCCAATTCATTTTATGAGGCCAAGATAACCCTGTTACCTGGGTTATCCTGACAAGAGCATCCAAAGGAAAGGAAATAGAATGGAATGGTTGGGAACAGTGTCGTGCAGAGTCACCTGGGACATTTCAACCCTGAGAAGCTCTGCCGAGAGTTACCTTTTCTTTCCCACTTCACGTCACTATGCAAAAGAATAATTGCAGTCAAAATGACAGCCACGACCACCAACATTGTCTGAGCATCTACTAAATTCCAAGCATCTTACATGTAGTAACTCATTCAATGCCCACAACAACCTTTTCTGGGAGGTGCTATTCCTCTCCCCCTCTTTTCTGGGGGGATTTATAAAAAGACATCAATTTAAGTCTTGTATACAAAGCTGTGACCCAGGTAATTCAGTTCCAATGTGGTGTTGCAGGTCACAAACCGCAGAGTTAGTCTAAACGGGAGTTCTAATTTTTAAACACTTCTCTCTTAAACAATTAAAGGACTCCAAGTATAATGATTGCCAATAATTAATTAGCAAGTAATTAATTTCCAAGTCATTTGCATGTATTAACTCATTCTATTCTCACAACACCACTTTGGGGCGGGTATTATCAGCTCCATTTCAC